GTTTGCTTCGAAGCATACACTCAGCCGCTTCAAAGCGAAAAGGGTCAATCAAAGCCTAACAGTCCATAGCGGCTAAGACGGCCGCATTCGCGCGGCTAGATATAAAAAATGCTAAGAAATGGAAGCATCCCATAAAAAGCATTCCGAAGAAACGCCAAAATATTCACTGCCCTGGGCAGATTTAGTTTACAGCACCAGCAAAAGTAAAGGACAGAAAGCAAAATAAAATACATGACAGTCAAGCGGTTCCTTCTTCAAACTTCTTCATCCTGGACTTCCTCCATGGTAACACCGGCGGCATCGGGGGTTTCAACGTTCTCTGCGGTTCCCACAGGCTCGACAGCAATGGACGCTGCATTGTCAGCAGGAGGCGTCGCAACATACTCGGAGTTAACATCATCGTCGCTCCAAAATTCGACCGCGTCCCATATGGAGTTGGTGTCCCACACCACCTCCGGGTACTCGCGGCGGAACCAGTGGCGAATGGCGGCCACGGTATCACGAAGTAGCTTCTTATACTTCGCGTCATCGGCGACACGAAAATCGTCGGAAGCCCAGAACGTGTCCCTAGCCTCTTGGGCGGCCCTCAGCATGTCGGCCTCCCGAGCATCCTGCAACTCTGATTTTTCTGTCCGGAGGTTGGCCAGCTCAACCTGCAGAGCGCTCTCCCGAGCCAAGGATTCATGCAGTTCGGACCGCAGGCGTTCTGCGTCCGCTTCAGGCTTCCTTGTTCGCTCCTTGCCCGCCTCGATCTCCGCATCCTTAGCCTTCATAATCTGCTCCTGCTCCTTCAAGACGTCCTCCCGCACCTCCGCCTTTACCCCTTCGCGACCCTCTTTAAGTTGGTCCTCCAGCTTCAGCACCTGAGTTTTGGCGTCCAGCAGGTTGCCCTCCAGGCGGTCATTTTCCAGCATGATCTGATTCAGGCCAAACTGGGTCTGCACAAAAACAGGAATCAACGCAAGAACTTACCGCGAAAAGTACCAGAAAAGAAAGAAGTGAATCTCAACATACCGCAAAGAATAGCCGCGAGGTGGCGGCTGCCAGCCGCTTTGTGTCGGACACCAGCATAGGAGTTCCAGAAGTGGGGGTAAAGTCGGAGGGGACCGCCAATCCCTCAGAAATTACGTGCATGGCACGCTTGGCGGCCGCGGGATACAGGGATGCTTGTGATGAAAAAGAGACAGAAGTGTCGACACTTGTTCTCTTCTGTTTCTTAGGCGCAATGTATGCGTCTATTGGAGTAGACTTCTCAGCAAGCACCCCCTTCAACCGCGGCTCCCCTGTGACCGCCACCAAATCCTTAGAAGTAGTGATGTTGAGAGCCCGCTTGGCAGAATTCCTCGTCAGAGCCGGCTCGGAGAGCTTCAACACACCAGTGCGACTGGCCACAAGCTGTTTCTGAGACGGTGAAGGCTGGGGAACCGCCGGGACTGAACGAGCAGCGGCAGGAACAGGGGAAGCGGGGGCATTAACCCCAGGCTTAGGCGGTCGAGCAGAGGACGCATATCGTCGCGTGCCTGTGAGAGAAGCCAAGTTAAAATGCAAAAAAACATGAGAAGTGCGCTCGACAAGTGAAATAAAGCAACTAACCATGAAAACGCCGGATAATATCCAAGGCATTATCGTTCCCCTTTGGGGAAAGGTGAATCTGAAGAGCACTCATGAGCCGCTTTAGAAAGGGCTTGACAGGACCAAGGCCGTCAGTGTCATTATTCCAATCTCTCTTGTCTCCAGACGCAAAGCCCGTAGGCGGTTCAACTTCTCCGGAATACCACTTGTCAGCGGGGCGAGCAAAGAAATACTCTTTAAACCAAGGGGAGTCCAACTTGGGTGCCCCGCTGACAAGGCCAATCCGCGACTCCCGGCGGTAGCAGGACCAACAATTTTCAGAGCCCCTCATCTTGTATAACTGACGGAACGCGTCAAAAGAGGGCGTCTCACCTATCTTTGCGCAAGCATCCCTAAAAACGATTGAGTGAAAAATGATCCCGGGAGACAAACGCCCCAGGGTGCAGTTCAGGAAGAGGAGCGTCCGAGTAAGGATGGGGTCAATGGGGAAAGTCAGGCCCATCCGGAGATGTTCCACATGTATGGGAATCCAACCGCCCGGACAAGAGCCCGACCGCCCAGCAGGGGAAGGAGCCGCGTAATCCCAGTTGGTAAGAAGGTTGTGCGTCCTCAACTGTCGCAGTACTTGTTTAGGGTTGTACGCGGCCTCATTCGGCGGTCCTTGTTCGTAGGCGCTTGAGGGTACGGGTTCTCCTTCCCACATGTCAGCATGCAACCGGACACGGTAGGTCGTGTCGCGGATAGCCTGAAAGGCGCCGACCGGCAACGCGTCGGAGACGGTCAGAGACGGAGACAACTCTCCCCCTTCATCCTCTGGGTGGTTCGCGGGGCCACCATCAGAAGGGAGCACCATCGCAGTATTAGGCGGCTCACTCTCCGCCTCGGAATAATCAAAGTCCTCCAGGTTGTCTCCAACCAAAGAAGACGCTCCCCGCCGTCCGCCCGACGTTCCCGCGTCAGGAGCCATATCCAGTTCTACCCCTAAAAGGTCATAACAAGACCGTCTAAGTATGCCTCACGCTGAGCGTGTGAATTCAATTCTGAATCCTATGCCTACGAGTAAACCGCGCAACACAACGAGTAAAGATGAATACCTGTATTCACTTGACGGCTGCTGGACGGCGGCCCGCCTGATCCACCTCCGGACTTAGAAGATGACCGCAGAGCACTACCGCCGACACTGGAGGTGCGCGCGTCGCCGGAAACAGTAACCGCAAGCTCACTGGAGGTTGTGACGGCGACGACATCACCAGAGAGGTTCTGGTTTTGGCTATCAGAGTGATCGGTGCTTTGTGATTCGTTCGCCATTTGCTTCCGGAGTTTCCTTTTTGCCCGTTTTTGACGTCGTCGAAGTTTAGAAAGGAAGATTGCTCGCGGCGGAGACAAAGAAGAGTTGTCTCGAAGGTAGGAAGAGAGGGAAAAACGAGAACACCGAGCAATTTTTGCGAATGGAGCGGAGGAAGAAGAAAAATGGGTGAAAAAGAGAGTTGTGGGAGAAAGAAGTAAAAGGCGAGTATAAATAGTAGGAAGAGGGGGCAGCGAAGCGACGGTTGAGTGACCTAGGGCAAACCCTACCCTAGGAAATTCAAAAGTCGGGCAAGTGATTGGACGCAAGGGTGCCCGTTGTCAGTGCACGAAGACCGAGGCCAAACACGTGGCGCGGCGTACAAGCGGTGGGATGGGACGTAGAAGATCAAACGTCAGGCGGTTCTCGAATGACAAGCGGGGACAGTTGAGAAGCATTCGTCCGCATGACACGTCACAGAAGCGTACAGCAAGAAAAAGGGGGGTAGACAGCTTGACGCCAAGAAGAAGAGTGCAACAAAAAGGGGGGGGGGGTGGACAGCTCAACCCTCAAGGCCTATATCGGACAAGGCTTGGAAGCCTCCCAGATTGACGCCACCGCTAAGAGACAGCTCAACCGCTAAGAGACCTATAGTGGACGGCCCGGAAGTCCCCGAATCAACGTCAAGGAGAAGAGCGGCGGCCAAAAAGGAGGGAGGACAGCGCAGTTGCGCCATAAAGACTAGTTCTCGAGTAACCCAATCAATGCTCCGAAAAAGGGGTGGATAGCGAAACAGCTCGGTCTTACACAAGGAAGTTGCGAACCACATTAAAGCTCACGGGACAAACCAGGAACTAGGTGGACGGCGCAGTTGAAAAACGCAAACCATTATAAGAGACTATGGACCAGGAAATCACGGATCTGCGGCGGACAGGGGGCAAAAGGGTAGACAGCTGTTAATGAAAGGACCGCTCAGCTATCAGAGGACATAAAGTAGCCGCCAAAATCCTTAGCTTTTCACGACTAAGGGGCAATTGTTGGGCCATAGCTGAGCAACATTGGGCTTAGGAGCCCAAAAGGGTAAGGCCCGTCCAAAGGGCCCAAGAGTACGTCTGGGGGAGCGTAGCGCATAGGAAACAGAGAAAGGAAAGCGGCCATACTAGGACATGACAGGTACTAGGACGCCTGACACAAAGAGCCGTTATGGGCAGAATGAGAGATCCTCCTAGGATACTCACCTCGAATACTGCAGGACTAAGCATTAATTGCCGCCGTAGGCGGTCTAAATAAAGCAGGGCTTGATATAGGACGCCTGACATGGTAATTAATGCTCGAAGCCCAGCCCAAACCACTATAAATACATTCATACCTGCATTGATGGTAAACCAACTACTCTCTCTCTCTCTAAACATTATTACAGAACTCTCTCTCTCTCTCTAACTTAAACTTCGGAGGGTGTCCTGGGTAATCACCCAAGGACCCTTGTTTTGTAGGAGCTTGGAGTCCCCCATCATCCGGATCAGACGCCTTGCTAGCTTCGCAAACCCGCCTAGAACATCCTAGGCTCAAACACCAACCATACAATTAACCCTTTCTTATTAATTGCTAAGTTTACCTCTCATTTCATCAATGGTCACTTCTCATTCAATTTTTTTAAATTCATCCTAAGTGATAATCATCTATGACGTTTGACTGCGAAGTTGTTGAGCTTGTCCGGTAAATTTAATAATAAAAATTGAAATCACATTTGTCAAACGTGCACGAGCAACAATTCCAATTATTAATCAATTTTTTTTTATTCTTTTTTATAAGTCAAACCTATTGAATTATTAATAGTTAGCAAAATCTTTTGTAACACTTAAAGTATTAGTTTTTTTTTCTCGTTATCGTTAATAATTTTGTAACTCTTTTTTTATTTGAAATATTAAAATTTTGGAATGTTGACCTATATTTGTCTTTCCAAGTCATTATCAGATTGCCAAATCCATATTACTAACAAAATTACTAACGCAAAGTTAACATTTGGTTAATTATGATAATTCAATATGTTTGGCAAGTAAGAAAAATGTTGTAAGTGTTTGGTTAATGATTAATATTTATCCTAAATAAAATAAAAACCTCATCTAAGGAAACTAGAAAAGTCCTAAAAAAACGATGGGCCCATATCTTACAAGCGTTGCGAAAAATGTGCCGTATCCGGCCGGGAGACCAGAATTCCGCCGCAAGTGTCCAACTCCATTGTACTACTACTACACTACTCGAGCGAGGTGGAGGCAACGTCCCCAACAGTCCAACTCCTAATCCCAAAGAAAGGTTGTTCAAATGAAAACGAGGGTTGTAATCCCATTCCCTTCCATGGCGGGCGAGGCTAGCGTCGTCATTTTACCCATAACCCTATCAGTGCACTTCTAAGGTATAAATCCTGAAACTTCTGGTCGGTCTGCGTGCTTTCTCCGGGCAATACGGGAAGGTGGCGGCGAGGTAGCTAGCTTTCTCTCGATCGACTTTCTCCAGGTTTTCACTCCGATTTATTTCTCTTTCAATGGATTGTTTACTTCGGTTGACTGTGCCGCTCCGGCCGCCGGATCGATTTTCAGTGTCGCTCCGTTTCTTCGATATTCTGTTTGTTTATTGAGAAATAAAATGACCGGAGCTTGGGTAGGAAACCTAATGTCGACCAGCTCTTTTATCTCCGCCATAGCGACGCGTCTTGCTCTACATGACGGAATTCCGTATTGTGTTTTATTTTTTTGCTTGCTTGGTGGTGTGATTCTACGTCAATTGCCAGGACCGGAATTCTCCAAGGCAGTTCAGATCAAATCGTGCTAGCTTTCTGGTTTGTGCTTGTTTATCGCGGGTTCTTCCTATTAGACGCAGAGAACTTGATTGGCATGTTAGATGGGTGAAAATTGGAAGTTAGAAGCTGAACTGTCATCACCTGTAGTGAGGTTAATTGGATCAGCGTCTTTGATTTGAACTGTTAGTGCAAATCCTGTTTTCCTTACGGTTTAGGAGGAGAGAAGGATGGCTGTAGATTATGCTTGTTCGGTCCTTGTTAAGTTATAGCAGGATGGATGAACGATAGACAGATCAGTGATCAAAGTTACCTCCACTTTTGCGGCTTTCCTTTCTTTGGTTCATAGATTATTCTTTTCTCAAGCTATGTTGTGTTTATACTGTTCAGGGTCACCATCTTAAATTGCAAACATGGCGGATGGATCAAAGCATCCATCAGTTGTTCAGAAGATATATGGGCAATCCTATCTTGTCACCAAGCTGTCTCCAGGCTTGCAAAGCAGGAATGGGACTGCTAGCTTTGACACTGGTTTCCAGTCTCCGCTCCATTGCACTATGCAGGGAACTGGGTTGGCAGTTCTCCCCACCCATTCCCCCATCTTTGTTCAAGCTCCCTCTGAGAAAGGCTTTGGTGCCTTTATGATTGATTTCCTCATGGGAGGAGTCTCTGCTGCGGTTTCCAAGACTGCAGCTGCTCCTATCGAGCGTGTTAAGCTCCTGATTCAGAATCAAGATGAGATGATTAAAGCTGGCCGTCTTTCGGAACCCTACGAGGGGATTGGTGACTGTTTTGCGAGAACCATGAAGGACGAGGGGGTGATTGCCCTTTGGAGAGGCAACACTGCTAATGTTATCAGATACTTCCCTACTCAGGTACCTTGCATTTTTAACTTGCATTCCTCTTTCCTCGCTGCATTTTTTTATTTTACCATGGACAAACGATCTTGAAATGATGTTTATCTTGTATGGTGATGGTGCTGTTTTCCCCCCTTGCTTTGTGATCTGCTTTCTAGAACTGAAATACTTGTTCATGAATGATTAGGCTCTGAACTTTGCTTTCAAAGATTACTTCAAGAGGCTGTTTAACTTCAAGAAAGACAGGGATGGTTACTGGAAATGGTTTGCTGGGAACTTGATGTCTGGTGGAGCAGCTGGTGCATCATCTCTTCTGTTTGTTTACTCCTTGGATTATGCTCGAACACGTTTGGCCAATGATGCAAAGGCAGCTAAAAAGGGTGGCGAGAGGCAGTTCAATGGCTTGGTTGATGTGTACAAGAAAACTATCAAAACTGATGGTGTCGCTGGACTCTACCGTGGTTTCAACATCTCTTGTGTTGGAATCATTGTGTACCGTGGACTCTACTTTGGCATGTACGACTCTCTTAAGCCTGTGGTTCTCACTGGTGATTTGCAGGTTAGACCATTTCTTCTATCTATTTGTCCCTTGTCATTACTTTTTCTTACTCATTTGGTGCTCTGCAGGATAGTGTATAGGGAAGGGCCTAATGTATTGATATGAGTACTTGGGCTTATGTTTTTCTTTTGGGCATCTGCAGGATAGTTTCCTGGCAAGTTTCTTGCTGGGATGGGGTATCACAATAGGAGCTGGGCTGGCATCTTATCCAATTGATACCGTGCGAAGAAGAATGATGATGACATCAGGGGAAGCTGTGAAGTACAGCAGCTCGCTGGATGCATTCAAGCAGATTGTCCAGAAAGAAGGCACAAAATCACTCTTCAAGGGTGCTGGTGCGAACATCCTTCGAGCAGTGGCTGGTGCAGGTGTGCTTGCCGGCTATGATAAGCTGCAGCTGATCGTCTTCGGCAAGAAGTATGGATCTGGCGGCGGCTAATTTGGTAGGTTGTGGGTATTCAAGGGGATAGGGAGAGAGCAATTATGATGATGAGAAATTAGAATGCTTGTTTAGGGGCGTCCTTTGCTAAAGTTTGAATAATTTTAGGTTGTCTCAAGTACTGTTTTGTTATCCCAGTACGTAGTTTGGGTTTGATGCTATAGGGCCATTGTGATTAGACCTGGTAGTTGCAAATTTTTGGGGTGTGGTTTTGTTGTGTCAGAGTACTGAGCTGAATAGTTCCTCGTTTGGACCGTGGATGAGAATAATAATCAAAATACGTTGTCTAAGAAGAGTTGCATCTGTGCTTGTTATGTCTGAAGTGAAATTTTATTACCAGGATATGTGTAGCTGAGAAATTGCGGTAGCGCATTTAGAACTCACGTCTGAACATAATCTCGGCCATTTTCAGTGAGCGATACGATATTGATGCAAGATCGTTTTAGTGTTCAATGATTTTGATGCTAGATTGTTGGGCTCTAACACGATTTTATCAAGATGGCTGCCATCAAAAGCGATCTAGCAAAATGGCCATTACCCTGCTTTGGCAACAAAGACACAAGTAACAAGTAATTTCTGGACAAAATAGACACAAGTAATTTCTAGATAAAAATATATTTGTATAGCTATAACTTTCATATTGTGACAAATATAGTCATAATTATTGAAAAACACAAAATAGTCCAAAAATTAGAAGATAGAGTGACAGATCTAGTCATTTCTTGTTAGAAACTATAACGATGTTTGTGATGTGGTGAAATTCTTTGACGGAACGCTGATTAGGATGCAACTCATTACTCATGTAATCTACAAATCGGCATAAGTTTACGTATAGATTGCTACGTCATCAATTAATGAAAATTCCCCCCATTCTTATATATGTCGACCGTCATGCTACCTTCTACATTGCGATTAGGGTTTTCCGGAAAAAGCTTCCTTGGGTTTCCTATGCTTCCACGGTGCCTTCGTCATTACCAGGAAGCTTGGGTTTCATCTGGAAACGATCTTCGTCGGTCTATTACGTCGCTGGATGCATGCAAGACTTCGTCGGGGAAGGGAGGCGATGGTGCGGGATTGATGTTTGGATGACAATTCTGGAGTGGGGTAGAGATTTTCTAGGTGGTCAGGGCATCAATCGGAAGAGGTGTGGTGATTATCGGAAGTAGATCGTAAATAGGAGAGGGATTGAAGCTTTGTTGTCTGTTGTGGTTGGAGGACGAGAGACGAAGGTGGGAAGAAAAGAAAGACGAGGAAAGGACACGTGGTCAACTGTGTCGCGTTTTGGATTTTATATTTAAAATTATTTTTGGTGTTAATCCACGTCGGTTGGTGGGGACAATAAATCGCCAACTCAACATTTTCAGTCAGCCTAGTCATACCGTTAACTAACACCGTTAAAATAATGAACTGAATTGATCATTTTGTTTTTTTCGATAGTTGTAGCTATATTTGTCGCAAATGCAAAAGTTATGGCTATCAAAGTGTATTTTACCTAATAGACGATATACGTCGGAACTTCTAGAAGGGAATACTTTACAAAATATTTGCTAAAATTGGAAAACATCCTCAAAGTATCTTAAACACTCCTAAATTCTAAGAACATGTCATCTTCCGATCGATTTCATAGTGGCGTAATTTTGTGCTTGATTATCCATTAGACGCACCTTTTTTAATTCACATAACTTTTCGAAATTTGCACTGCCCAAACAACCAAATGCGATTTGGTTCGTTTTCGTCTCTAAATAATGGTCGTTTGATGCCCAATTAAGTAGTTTTGTTATTTCGCTAACTTTGGATAGTCGTAATTTTGTGTTCTATCATATGCTCTTTGTTGATTATTGTTCGTCTCCTTTACAAATTATTTGTCCAACTTTGTATTGACTCGAGCTTAGTTTGGACCAGTGCGATAGTCAGATAACAAGTGTAAAGAAGCATAGTTCGATAAATATAATAGATACGAAACGTGCAATTCTATTGAGACCAATCAAAAAGTTAATTGAAACTCCAAATGCAAATCCAACACTTTGGATTGCTATTTTGGCATGACATTGCTATAGACTACAAGCCTCTTGGAATTCTTTCCTAGTATGCACTAGGTCATTCATATCAATCCAATTGCAAAACAAATTTCATATGCGGTGTCTAGGCTATCCACATTCGGCTCGGGAATAACTAGTTCAAAACTCGACTCGTTTTTAACGACCGGAGCTTGAGCTACGCAACTTTCAACTTGCGAGGCTTGCAATCCATCTCAACTTAGTGTCTTGTTGAGCTCATGAGGTGTCTCAACATTATGACTAGCGAGCCAACTCGACGACTCACTTATTTGTAAATCGATCTATATTTCGTAATAATACCAATCATATGTATCATTATCATACATTACAAAAAATATTAGGGTATCTAATTTATAAATTATTTTAGAGTTTAGTTTAATGGCTCAACCATTTAGAACAAATGCGGTGAGTTCGAGCCGAACTCATGATCTTAATGAGCGAAACTCGAGGAGTAGAGCTCATAAAGCTCCTAAACTCATTAATGAGTCGAGATCGAGACAAATACGAACTAAAGTGTTAGTAATCGAGCAGATTTCGAGCTAGCTTGTTTGTTAACGAGCCAAGCCCGAGTTATAAAAAACTTGGTTCGACTCGACTAATTTGCAGTCGTGCCACTAGCACCTTACATTCCTGAAATTATTAATCCATGTTAATTTCATTGCAATTTGCACCTACACCAATGCAATTTCTTTGAAATCGCAATTGTAGGGCCTAGTTGACATCGTTACGAAAATCGGACTAGATCTTAAACGATTTAAACAAAAAAACCGAACCAAACTGCTTCGATCCAATCTGGTTTTAAACCCATAAACCGGAATGAAGTCCAACAGACAGACTGATTATCTCGCAAGACTTTATTATCATCGTGACAACATGTCGGGCGGACTCTGTGGTCTAATCCCTTCAGTTCCAAGTCATAGTAGAAAACATCATCTTTGGAATGAAGCTGTCTTTCTCCCTCTCCACTACAAACAACCTGCGACAATTACTCAAGCAGACGACGAATCCTTATCGATAATGACGATATCATCTCTCCCACTTTCAGCCGATCGACTCCATTTTCAACATTGATTTGTACTGTAACCTCAAGCAGCTTTGAAAAAAAAACTGATCATCATGCAAACGGTCGCCCGTCGTTGTAGCTAAGTGGTTGTGAAGTTCTTATCCTCCCTCCCCTCCCCACTCTCTTTCGGCACGTAGAGACGAGAAGTTGCAGCATTTGGCCCGCAAACAACATCATTCAATTCAATGACTCTCACCACACCATCCAAGACTATGAAAATGGCAATTTTCTGATCTGAATCGCCATATCTGACCTGTTTCGAGCGGGTATCATCCGACTCGTAGTCAGTGGCGGATCCAGATTTTTTTTATAGGGGTGTCCTTTTCCAAAAATTAAATTAAATTAAAAATTAAAATTAAATAATTCATAATTCAGAAAATACCCGACTAGTATAACTTTTAACAAAAGGTCAGGACATATTTTCATATTTTGAAAAAAGAATATAAAATAGACTCAATATCTACATTGCTCAACAAATCTGTATTTCCTACGAGACAATAATTCACGAACTGATCGCATATTCGATTTCTAACCTTGTTCTTGATGTAACTCAAAGTTGAAAGACTCTTTTAACTGTTGTTGTGTAACCATGAAATTAATTCAAATTAAGGATAACCCGTAATTACTTTAATTGTTAGGTTTCGAAAATAATTGGGGATAAGTGTTCAAAATAGAACAAGAAATGAGATGAAACCTAGAGAATATGTTTAATAATAGTAGTGCCTTAGGTTTGAATAACACAAACTACCATTTATATTTGTTTAATCATACACAAATTACTACCGAGATTAAGATAATCATTTTTTTCAAAATTTAAGAGTGTCCCGGATTACCGATTATAATTTTTTATCCATACGAAATTATTATTGTGGGTTGGATAATCATTCTCCCAAATTTTAGGGTGTCCTACTGATCCATGTATCCGCCACTGCTGGTAGTAACGTGGGATGAGACATAGATATGGCTTGTGGCCTCTTTCGCGCGTTGTCTCATCCCGTTCTCTACCTGTTCTATCCTGATTTGTATCAATATCAATATGTATATTTTTTTTTAATTTAAAAACTCTTATCTTTTATTCTACTTTATCTCTCATGCATTTATGAAATATTTTTTCTAAGTGTTCTTGTAAAAGAGTTAAATATATAAAAAAATTCAAATAACAAATAAAAATGGATCGACCCGTCTTGCCATGTAAGCGCACGAGTATTATCCGACCGGACCCACACTCAATACGAAATGAATATGAATACTGAAATACTCGACCCATTTACATTCCTACATGAAACACCTCCTTTAAATGTACCCTTCCTCCACACATGAGCTATCTCCCATTACAATCATCATCCAACAAAATGCCTTCTTCTTCTTCTTCTTCTTCTTCGTCTTCCACCTATGCCCAAGCTGCCTGCGGCTTCCTCTTCTTACTCCTACTCCTCAACCCTAACTTCTCCAACAAGGCAACTGCAAAACACACACACTCCTCCTCTTCCACTCACCACCACCGCCAACGCCCGACGGACGCCGCCGCCACGAACCCACGCCTCCACAGCGCGTACCTTGCGTTGCAAGCATGGAAGCGGGTCATCTACTCCGACCCATCAAACTACACGTCCAACTGGGTCGGCCCATCGGTGTGCAACTACAATGGCGTCTACTGCACGGCGTCGGTGGACGACCCTGAAACCCAGGTGGTGGCCGGAATCGACCTAAACCACCTGGACATCGCCGGATTCCTCCCCGACGAGCTAGGCCTTCTCGCCGACCTGGCTCTCGTCCACATAAACAGCAACCGCTTCTGCGGCATCGTCCCACAGGCCATCTCCAATCTCACCCTCCTCCACGAGCTCGACCTCAGCAACAACAGATTCGTCGGCCCCTTTCCTTCTCCAGTACTCGCCCTCCCATCCCTCAAGTTCCTCGATATTAGGTATATTACATATATATCATTTTAGAGTTTTGTTTCTCGATTTTTTAATGAAAATATTTCATGCTATAAAAAAATTTCCTTTCAAATATATACTCGTATGGATAGACGTGCCCCGAGATCCACCCTTCATAACAAAATATCCGACCTGAATCATAAAATAAGTATGAATATTAAGATACGCGCGCGATACCCGCACCAACCTGTCTGTTGTCATTGTTTGAGTTGTACAAAATAATAACTGAATCGCTAAATGTCACTCTTAAAATTGCTAATGGTCGTCCTAATTCTAATGATAAATTACTTACATAATCCCAATAAAATTTTCAAATTTAAACAAACCAAACAATCCCTAACTACTCAAACTGAACCCCTCATCTGGCTTCTTCGGGAATCCCTCTCGACGCACCAGTCCGCCTACGCCTTTCCCGCCGTCGTCGGCCCGTTCTCTACCAAAATTTTCAAAAAAAAATAAACGCTCAACCTAGGGCAAGCTACGGTTGGCCCATGGTACCACCGCAAGTGAGCAGCGGTTGGGCCATAGTGCAACCGGAAATGAGCTACGGTTCCCCTTTTTTTATTCAATTTTTGGAGTGAATTTTACCGATTTAGAGTCGCTAGTCATGATCCAGACATCCTATCGACAATTCCAACTCCTTAATGATGATAATGAATTCTCTTTTTTGAATAATGTTTTATTTTCTTTACTAAGTGTTGTTTGTTTACTAAAGGGAAAGTAAAGAAGTTAAAAGGTTAAAAATATAACTTTAATGTTTTTTAAAGCGACATTTAGCAATTTTAATGGCGGTCATTAGCAACTCCCAATCATAATACACTCTCTCCTCCTATGTGATGTACAAATTTTTTTTTTTTTTTTTTCCTCCTAATACAAAAGGTACAACGAGTTCGAAGGCCCGTTGCCACCTCAGCTGTTCGGAATGGGCCTGGACGCCATCTTCGTCAACAACAACCGATTCACCAGCACCATCTCCTCCACCACCCTAAACGGCACCGGCGCGTCCGTCCTGGTCTTCGCCAACAACAGGTTCAACGGTTGCTTGCCCCCCACGATATCCCAATTCGCCGACACCCTCGAGGAGCTCCTGCTGGTCAACTCCAGCCTCCAAGGTTGCTTGCCCCCGGAGGTAGGCTACCTCTACAAGCTGCGGCTGCTGGACGTGAGCCGCAACAGGCTCGTGGGCCCAGTCCCCTACAGCCTTGCTGGGCTGGCCCATCTGGAGGTCCTGAATCTGGGCCACAACTTGATGACCGGGATTGTCCCCGACGGCGTGTGCGTGCTGCCGAGGCTGGACAACTTCACCTTCTCCTACAATTTCTTCTGCGACGAGGAAGGGGCTTGCGTCAACCTGACGTCGAGAGGGGTGAGGTTCGACGACCGGAGGAACTGCCTGCCGGAGAAGCCGCTTCAGAGGAGCAAGGAGCTCTGTGATATCGTGGCGGAACACCCCGTTGACTGTGGTCAACGATGCACTGGCGGTAATGCTGCTGGGTTCGTTGACGGTGGTGCATTTGCTCCGTTCTTGGCGCCTGCTGTTGCTCCTGGCCCTACATGATCGGCAACTTTGAGCTGCTTATAAGTTCATGAATGACATTGACGCACCACAAAATCAAAATAAGGTCTCCGACCGACTCCACGGTATATAAGAAGTATAGCTGGTCGGTCCTTGTAATCAAAGCTATAATCATCTGTAGATTGATCGCTTGAAGTCAAGGTTAAGAGAGTGGAATGGATCGAGTTTCACTTTATTAGCATGTAACGTAACAACTTTTTTTGTGTAATTTCATTGCAATTTGCACCTACAGCAATGCAATTTCTTTGAAATCGCAATTGGAGGGCCTAGTTGACCTCGTTACGAAAATCGGACTAGATCTTAAACGATTTAAACAAAAAAACCGTACCAAACTGCTTCGATCCAATCCGGTTTTTAACCCATAAACCGGAATGAAGTCCAACAGACAGACTGATTATCTCGCAAGACTTTATTATCATCGTGACAACATGTCGGGCGGACTCTCTGGTCTAATCCCTTTAGTTCCAAGTCATAGCAAAAAACATCATCTTTGGAATGAAGCTGTCTTTCTCCCTCTCCACTACAAACAACCTGCGACAATTACTCAAGCAGACGACACATCCTTATCGATAATGACATATCATCTCTCCCACTTTCAGCCGATCGACTCCATTTTCAACATTGATTTGTACTGTAACCTCAAGCAGCTTGAAAAAAAACTGATCATCATGCAAACGGTTGCCCGTCGTTGTAGCTAAGTGGTTGTGAAGCTCTTATCCTCCCTCCCCTCCCCACTCTCTTTCGGCACGTAGAGACGAGAAGTTGCAGCATTTGGGCTGCAAACAACATCATTCAATTCAATGACTCTCACCACACCATCCAAGACTATGAAAATGGCAATTTCTGATATCTGGCCTGTTTCGAGCGGGTATCACCCGACTCGTAGTAACGTGGGATGGGACATAGATATTGCTTCTGGTCTATTTCGCGCGCTGTCTCATCCCGTTCTGTACCTGTTCTATCCTGATTTGCATCAATATCTAAATGTATATTTATTTTTTCATCCCAAAAGAAATTTAAAAACGCTATCTTTCAATTATTTAGACTAAACTATCATTCTACTTTATTTTTCATGCATTTATGAAATATTTTTTCTAAATGTTCTCGCAAAAGAGTTAAATATATAAAAAATTCAAATAACAAATAAAAATGTATCGACTCGACTCCACGGTATATAAGAAGTATAGCTGGTCGGTCCTTGTAATCAAAGCTATAATCATCTGTAAATTGATCGCTTGAAGTCAAGGTTAAGAGAGTGAAATGGAACGAGTTTCACTTTATTAGCATGTAACGTAACAACTTTTTTTGTGTTAGTTATGTTTTCTAGCAATATGAAAAAGGAAGGAATGTACTTGAATTTCTCTCGATGAGAATTATTATTGATGCGGTTCAAATCTGTTTCAACGAGGGTGTTTGATATTACAGAGAGAGAATTATTATTGATTGGGAATCAAATATTAGGAAGGTTGTAATGCGGACAACTAGAAATGACAATGAGGCAGGTCGGAGGCGATTTTCTTGATACCCAGACCCGCCCCCGTGACAGGTCTGATAATTTATTATGGGTCGCGGGTCGGGGCAAGTCGACCCAATAAGTATGCAATTTATATGAAAAACATTAGAAATATTCGTTATTTTTATTGTAAAACCATGAAAACAAACAATATTATGATAGATTTAGTTAAATTATTAGAGAAATTTGAGGTTTTCACTAATATACAACTTTATTATAGTTAAAATATGATGTAATAAAAGAAAAATCCTAAGTAATTTGACTAAGATTACATGTAATTTAGTCAAGAACGCGTCGAGAATGGGGCAGGTCAGGACAGGCCGAGTCGATGACAGTACCCATGCCCGCCCCGCGGGTCCGACCCACCTCAAAACAGGCCAAACAGATCGGGTAAGACAGGTCATGTCGAAATTGTCATCCCTACGTACAACTCACAATTCCATAATAGCTAAATACCTCACAGAAAATAACATCACCTTAAGTCGCACACTAAGAGCAGCAGAGGCCAGAGAAAGACTAGATTCTTTCAATGCTTCAGCTTGCTATATACGAACAGAGATATGACATCTGTTGGAATAAATGGCCAATAGAGAGGATACAGGGAATCGTTGGGAAGGAAAACGAGCTGCAAATGTGAAGCCTTCCTCGAAAGGTTTCACTTATATTTATACAATTGACACGAGAAGGCGTGTGTCAAAGTACATCATAAATCTCAGAAAAACATCCCCGTGAAATGTTTTGTTTTATGCCTTGTACCTCAAGCTACCCTCTCTAAGGTGGGCAGAAAGGGCGAAAGTGAGTTCAGGGTTCATCTACCAACCTGGGGAAAACCCCAAAATCAGTCTCGTGCGTCTGATGAAAGATAACAATCTGGCGGCTCTTTGGCGGTTCCCTTCCGTTGCCAAATTGGGGTGGTGATGTCAATTAGTTTCCTATGCAGTGTATGAACAAAAATATGGCTAGCTAGGCTGGTGGCAGTGGGCGCCGGCAAGTTGGACATTCCATCTTAATGTCCATCCATCTCTGTAGACAACCCGAGTGAAAGAAATGGTCGCAAGGCGTTACCTGTGTCACCAATTCACAGTTTCATTGAGGATAGCTAGCTCAGTGACAAAAACAAACACAAGTAGAACTTAATGCAAGGTTACCATGCAATCACTGGGACGTTGCATCATATTAATCCCGGTCATGCAAATCACACAATCCGTCGCGTGATTTTCTTCCTGATCGAATTTCCTGTAGTAGCTATATCTCTCAGGTAGAATCTACAACACAAGAAGAAAAACACGAGAACTCTTTCTTGGTTAACTACCAAACGGCTTTTTAGATGGAGGAAACATGTTAGTAGACACCAAGAAAGTGATCCTTTACCTGGCGAGGAATGAACCATCTGGATCCTAGATAGTGTTGAAGAAGCAGAACTGATGCCTGCAGGGTAACAAATATAACCAGATATGTGCACCAAGTCTTGTCTGGTTCGATCCTCATGAAGTTATTAGGGCATCCGAATATATACAATGGGATTGCTAGCCGAGTAACCGTCATGCCTAAGATGTAATAAGGATGCAATGGCTTTCTAGAGTCGCGAATAACGTTGGTAACTATTTGAGGTATCCAAAACGAGTACATTAGGAGGAGAAGTGGCCTCAGGAAATTGTGGAACTCGTACATAAGCAGAATGCCTCCCAGAAGAATCCCATCTGCACGGAAAGATATTCGTATGCAAATCAGCTAATCAAGTTCATGAACAGCCAGCAAAAATAATGACCAGCTAGTTACACCAAGTTGGTTGGTTCATTTCTGGGTCAATTTAAAGTGAGAACATAGCTAATAAAACGTAAGAACATCAGAAATATGTGATCTAATTTTGGAGTTTTACAGAAGAGAAATGGGTAGAATCAGAAATGTCGAAAATTTAAAGTGGGGTCTACACCATCGACAAAATTGGATTCCAAAGATAGATATTATATGCAGAGGCACGAAGGGTGCCAGCACTTGGCCAATATTAAGAGTGAATGCTTGATGATATTGTAAATGAGAACAGAAAAACTATACAATGGGGCAAGAGTTTATGAGGATACTTACAAAACCGACTATATAATACTGAAAGCTCACGCCTCATTGTTTCCCAACCTTCACCACTACTAGCAGGCCTGCTTGCCTTCCATATGGCTAGAAGGTATCGCATTTCGAAAATTGAAAAGACCACAAACTTGAAAAATGCAGCAGTAGCAAAAGCATTGAACAAGGATTCTGCATAACAAAAGGCAGGAGTGTGAGAGCCAATGACTGACACTTGTTACGATAATCTCTAGAATCCATAACAAATCAGAGTCAACAAATCAAGACAGCTGGATAAAGCACAAAATCCAGCACCTTTTTGGTTGCCAAACTTACCAACTAAAATCCCGGCAGTCAGGTGTAAAAGGCAAAGATAAGCATCCATGATGGCCTGCTGCCCAATCATCAAAATTGAAACTTTGGCAGCTCCCTGCCAAGTGAGAAAAAACAGAACTATCACCTTTCTGACCCCCAAAACTACTGGTATTTGAAAGAACTATCAAGGTACTATAGCCTTGACATCTTCAGACACTAGTAAGTTCAGCAGAGGTGGATGTTAGAGCTCTCACCGACTGTGTGTTACTATGTTCCATCTGTCGTATCAACAAAAGCACTTGAAGAAAAGAAACCTAATCCAAAGAATGTTAAGGATCACACTGAAAACATGTGCTACCATAACAAAATCAAAATTAGGTTGAATCCATAAAATGAAAAACATTAGGTCGAATCCACCAGAACACTGCACACAGAAAGGATACAAAAGTGACCATCAAGGTGTAGTTCACTGCTTTATTGTAGTACACCTCAATATTCACGGAAGTGGCATTTAGCAGCAAGGGAGAGAAGCATTCCCCGTCATCATCCACAGCAGGACTCTCCATCAATCCTTCCAAGTGATAACGGTCATGCTCTCCATCTACATGAATATTGGCACCAACTTATAAATGGGCGGTGCACATAAACTTTTGAGGACTTGCATGTCAGTCAATAAGGGTAGGGATAATTTTAATCTCAATCTCACAATCTATGGTGCACAAGATTCCTGGAGTTTCTAGTGCTTAACCATTTACGATGACCAGAGATGAAGAATCATCCAATGCAGTAGAGAGATGAACAACTATCTGTGGGTTTAGGTTGGTGAATTTGTAAATCGATAATTCTCAAGCTATTATATAAGATGTAGTAGCAAAAAAAGTTTTAGAATTCAGGGCATTATTGCATGGGATCATGTAAGAAAGTGAAGAAAGTACATGCCGGACACTTTTCTAGGGTCCAATTCGAACTTTCAACCCACAAGTATTTGAGATTGCATCATTTTCATGCATTTGAAATTGCCTCTGCGATTTTAGATGCACACTAATACATCAAAAGTGTAAACGAAAAAAAGATACATCTTTTCAATTATGTGTTAGCTGAAATTTCATTCTCCCACATTCATCCAATCAAATGCTTCTGTAAGAAAAATGAAAGCCTGTCAAGGAATATTGTTACAAATTGTCCTAATAAACATCTAGAATGACAGATATAAGAACATTGCAGAACAAAAACCAGAAACTGGTCCAAAAATAGCAAAAACTGAAAGAAGTTACTTGCCATTTTGGTTGGTTGAGACTCGTGTAACTTGGGCAGCAATTTCAATATTGCAATGTTTCTCCATCTCGTTAATTGGTGCTGCAAAGACATGTGTAAGTTTACAGCGTAAATACCGTTTAAGTGAATGTTCAAAAGATTAAGTTGAAACCAGTTGAAGTTGAGTTTAGATGGTTACAAGTTTTGCTTCTCCATATCTTTTCTTTTGGAGAGTCTTGGAACACCTGAGATGAGAAAACTCCAAGCTGAACGACAAAGTGATAATTGAGCTGTAAGTCTTCAGTTACACCAAATGACAATCAAGACGACAAAGCAACCATAGAAACTAAAATATCATCTAAACTGGAAACAACAGCACATAGTTCGGATTAAACATTATCTACTACAGTATTCAGTGACTTTCAATGAGCAATGACTAGAGATTTGTCAGCCTCGAAAGCAACCATCTAATTGATCTGCTGACTAATAAGTCATGCTGACTGATGAAGGAATAAAGACCTCAGCCTACTATGACTATCCTCACATCCAGTAAAGTATAAAATGAAAAGAAAACTACTATAAAAAGCATAATTGTCATAAGATTGCATTGATATTTGATAATGTAACTTGAGCAAGATGACTAACATTTCTTACCAGATGATACGGATTAGACAGGATGTAATCGTCTTCCTGGGCTAATACCCCTTCTTTTCTACTGCCACAATCCAAAAGCAAAGTTATAATGCCAAATTGGTGACTGTGCTTGTCTGCTTCATACACAGATACTACCAACAGATAATGACAGGTCTAATGCCACAATTGTGACCAAAATATTTGGGGAGACAAGTCATTAACAGGTTCATTAGCAAAGATGGGCCATTAATTTCGATATCTACCATCGTGGGTCTATTCAAGAAATAGTTCCAGAGTAAATTTAAAGGCAACAATAAGTCAATAATCAATATGGATTGATATATGTACCAGAAGAAACACATGAAATGGCAATATGCTGGACTTAGTTACCTGTTAGCCACCATCCGAAGCTGTCTAAATGGCCATATATAAACACCTTCCACCCTGATTTGAGCCCCTCCAACATTGTGTTCATTGTCAAACACATCATGGAAAATAATTACACCCTGGTATAAAAAACAATCAAGATATATTTCATCCCTCTGTGGTTCCAATACAAGCATTAATTGAAAATCGGTAAAATGACAAGGATTTGAAAAGTATTATTAGAATCATTAAAGCATAACAAATTTTGGGTTTACTGTTTCTTCAGGGGGGATCTGAAAACACTGTTTATCAGTAGAGTTTAGGTTGTCTGCAGCACTTCTACTGTAGGCCCAAGTACACCACTTTTGGGCTTGCCCGAGCATATCCGTTCAATCCTTATTTATAATCCTCGTTTCTTCTCCCCTACTCTCTCCCAAAGATACCTTTCCTCCTCTCTCCTGTGATCTCTCTTTAGATTTGCTTGTCCAATTCCTTTTAGTTAATTTCTCCTTCCGGAGGATGATACTTCAATGTTCTTTATTTACCAAACTGTAGGAGCAAGTGTTGATAGGCAACTACCATTGTATCTTTAGCTCTAGCTTCAGATGATGAAGTTCGCGTAAGCTTGGGTAGGCAACTTCATTTTTTTACTTAAGTTAACAGCTTCTCTCTAACATATACGGCCAACTGGTGTTCTTGCAATTGGAACTGTACATCACACTTTGTGGATGGACCTATGTATCAAAAGTTTCAGCACTGATACAGGCGTTAGAGATAATTGCTTAGTTTTGGTGGTTGTTCTTTTCTTTTCTCGACGATTGCAGTGTATAAAAAAGCAAAATCCTTTTCCTCTACCAAACAGAAAAGCAAAATCCTTTTGAATGTACATTGATGAACAATTGATCTGGAGTTTAAACCATAGGAGATAGGTGAGAACTCTATTGGCAATCCGAAAAGGTTCCTAAAGCTGCAATGCAAAGGCATTTGATCATTTGATTGAGAGTCTTTATGAGCATGACTAATGACTAATTAAGTTATTAATTGCAAAGATTTTTGCTTTTCGATATCACTTTGTAATGTGTTCTTCAGTCCGGAAACAGAACCAAATAGAATGCAGAGTTTAGTGATTTGTCAATACTTGCAGGATTACTTTTCTTAATGCTTCTAAGACACTGTTCCCGGGATTAGCCTGATTAAACTGCAGCAGCAGCAGTTAGTTATGACGTTGTCAGCAAAGATAAAGGTCTAGCTTAATCAAACTAATGAAACAGTTGATTTTCAAGTAAAATCTCTTGGTTCCTTATGATGAGCTTTAAGCCCCAACGTAGTTCGTTTTTCAGCTCTGAAGGTACTTGCTTACTACTTTGTTGTAAAAGCTTTCTTTTTTTCATAGGGTTTAACAGCTTTCTGTTAACATCCATCATATAACCTAACAGAGAGTGACTTCATTATAGAAGTTTCAGCAGACATTCAGAACATGAGAAAACGGAGTACAGAAAGGGGGAAGAAAATGGAAGCCGTCTCCATGAAAGGTGAGTCAGAGAATGAGCAGAAAAGGCCTTCCTATGTTCTTCGCGAAACAGGTTGTTACCTCTTTTATTTTGTTTAGGCTACATACTGCCATGAAGTCATGAACTAATACCATTGACAGCTTAACGTTTAGTAGACATGTATAACCGTACAGAGAATTTCACAGCTTGCACTGCTCTATCAAATACTTCCAGTTTCCAGTGGCATAGCACAGATTTCCGCCCTAGTAAGGAAATAACAGAAGAAAATCACCTGGACATAGTGAACACCAGTAATTTTGGTCTGTGTGCTGACCAACTCAATTACAGAATCACCATTGGACTTCCTGAAATCTGGAAACCTGGAAGAGCTATTTGCAGAATCAAGGAACTTCCAAGACCCTGCAGTTCATGACCCAAGCATAGGCACATTAATCAACCATAAGAGAAGTAAACAAAGGATTTATGACCATCAAGATGAATACATAAAATGTGTTAGCAAACCTTTCAAATGTCAAACAGCTTAATGATTCTTCAAACTTCATTTCACTTTCCTGGTGTACTTTCCAACTAACCTACGTGTCTCAACCTTCTAAGGTTAGGGCACTACTTAAGCAACTATTTATGAAAAACTAAACAAGCCAATGCTTCCCAGAACTTAAGGAATCCAATGTAACATAAGAGAATATTAAGGGTTGGCAACCTTGCTCACAAAGCACAATATTAGTGAGTTATTCCCAAATCAGGAAACACTTTGAACATACGCATACATGACATGTCTGAAAGCCACTTAAGGTCTTGAGTGAACAAACCTCGGTAAGTTCCTGTAATGTTCCATGCAGAAAATGGGCCCAGGTCACTTTCTTCTTTCCTAACAAATAGCCACTGCAAGAATCAAAATCAAGAACATGCATAAAGTAAGTACACTCAGGTTGATGATGCTGCAACATTCTGCTGGTACATCTGCGCATAATATATGGCTTTCTATCTTCCTCAAAACCTGATATACAATATCAAAACATAATTGAAAGAGTCCCACAGTATCAATTGGATCTTCAATAAAACTAGAGCAAGGTTGTATCCCTCCCATGATATTCTCACTTCCTAACATCCACAGCCAAATTTGTTCCTGTAATAAAACTTTAGAAGCTGACGGATTCCTATTTCAAACTTTCAAACTGACTCTTAGCGTCCGATAGGATAGACGAGCAATCTTGGTCGGCCATTCAAGCTTCATAACTGAACTCTAGTTGCTAAAACTAGCAGGAATCTGACTCTTCTCAGCTCAGCACAAACATACCCACAGCACCATTTGTTGTTAAGTTACTCCAACAACTACACTCTATTAAGAAGTTGCTCACTTCATTAGTCACAGGTGCAACAAATTGCGTAACAGAAGCAGCAGACTCACAAATTCCCCCCTGCACGCATTTCCTAGAAACAACTTCATGTGCAATTCACAAGCCAGTTCACAACCTATTGCTAATACAGAACCCTCAGCTAACAGCTAACGGAACAAAAGACCTCAAAAAGGAAAACCTCGTAAAGAAGGTTTTCCCTCGTGAAACAAAATGGGGCGAAATTTAATTGAAAAAAACTGCTACGGAGCTCGCTAGTCACTAGAGCAGGAAACTTCTCAGCATTATATTGTCCATCGCAAATGCACAACATTTTCCCAGAATTGACCAAACATTAAACCCAAAAGAGAAGGAAAGAAGTCAAAACTCAAAACTGACCTCATCGCCCCATGATCGTCTCTGTTCCCTCAAGGGCCTCAGCCCCACCACAGGACGCAGCAGAACCACGAACCCAAACCACAAAGAGAAGACTATCCAATACACAAACCCTAAACCTCTCCTTTTGTGAGAGCACAAATACTCCCCCACAACCATATCAAGCAACTCCCTTTTTCCTTGCCCGCACAAAGCCTCGTAGTTTTCAACTCCAATTAACACAATTACTTGTGCCCCAAAGTGTACAAGAGAACAAAACAAAGCTCATTTGAGAGAGGGGGCTGAAGAAGGAAAAATGGGTTGCTTCAACCGGAGTCAAACCAACAAACAACCTGAATAGAAAAGGAGAGGCCAACAAACAAGACCCATTAGAGAACCAAAGAGCCCCTTCTCTCTGGATGGTTAGGGGGAGATTTTGATTTGTTTAAGAAACAGAGCAGATGCACCAAACGCAGCCGAGTCCACTACCGATGAGGTTTGAACCAGAAAGAAATTGGCAACCAACCCCAAGGATTACAATCAGTTGAGAAGATGGAGAGAGTTGAAAAAGGATTTTTCTTTTTTCTTCCCTTTGGTTTGCCCTCTAAGTTGTTGAAAACGTTGACAGCTCTGCTGCTGCCGGGCTGTTTGCTTTCCTTTTTTCTTCCCTTGTTTTTGCGTCTAATAGTTTTTTTCTTTCCTTTCTTCCTTCTGTGAAAATGGAGGTCAAATTCTAGAGGGAGAGAGAGAGCGAACGAGAATGAAAAGAAAGAGGCTGCTAAGCTTTGCTCTGTCTGTGTCTCAGTCGCGTCATTAGTATTGGGCCGGAGAATCTAAAGCCCAAAAAATTGGTAGATTACAAAATGGCTAGTATATGTTTGCACTTTGCATGCCAATTGCCAAGGTTAATTAATTAATCGAGGGTTGAGCTTGCAATATCCAAGTCATCAATCTAAAGCACACATATTGAGAAATAGTAAGCATAAATTTATAAACAAAACAAAATCACATTTGGACTTACCACTGCTCCAACTATTGCACCTTCTTGAGACACCCATCGTAGAGTAAACCTTAGGTACCATACCATGTACTGGTCTTGGTACCCCGGCTCCCTACCATTCAACGTCTCACCACGAAGAACACGACTCGCACTATTATCCCATAAGGTTAGATATGCATCATGGTACGTGGCCCAGTCGATTTCATTGGCTCGAACGTCCACGTCGTGCAGTCCTTGAAGGTCACGCGAAGGTGTTTGAGGAATTGGTTGGTTGATGTCAAAATGCCTCGTACATCTTTGAGGTGGGTTCCACTCGATGATTAAGAAACAAAATGGAGGTACTATACAACTCCAATAGTTGTGACCATTGGGATATCTCAACTAGGGCTGCAAATGAGCCGAGTAGAGTCGAGTTTTACCCTAGTTTGAGCTCGGCTCGTTAATAAACGAGTCGAGCTCAGCTCATTTATTAACGAGTCGAGTCGAATCGAGTTCGAGCTAGCTTGTTTATTAAAATCTTAACTTTTATTTTATACTTCATTTTGTATATCATGATACATATGATTTAATTTGTTAGTTAATCTCATATTATACTTTGTTGGTATAATATATCATTTAGTTAATAAATTTTAACTACTCCAAATCATGTTATTTCATAGTATCGAAGCAATCTATGATGCATAATTTCTTTTTAAAGTAGAAAATAAGATATATTTGTTCACAAACTCAACGTGTTAAACTTTATATATCGTAAAAATATATAATTTAACAACCATATGAATTAAAATCATAAGATATAGATTGATTCGTCCATAAGTTGGTAATCGAGTTGGCTCTCCAACCACATGTCAAGACATATCATGAGCTCTAAACGAGCCAGCTCACGAGTTTAGCTCAACAAGCCACCGAGTCGAGCTAGTTCGCGAGCTTCACGAGTTGAACAAATGTGAGCTCGTGTTCGGCTCATTTATTAACGAGTGGCTCGTTTATTAACGAGTCGAGTTTTGAACGAGCTTTTCTCGAGTCGAACGCCGAGCCGCTCGCGAGCAGTTCGACTCATTTGAAGCTCTAAATTCTCAACCTATGCCTTTAGACCACCTCAAAGGGATATGGGTCCCACCTAATCTACATTCACATTGATGTTCATTTATAAAAAAATCATTCCTAATCATATCCTTTGAATTCACAATTATACACATATTTTAATATTTACCTTGTTATGCCAAAGTCAATCAATTTGCTTGTCATATACTACACATATTAGGGCAATAGATAATATGTGAATAAAGAAGAGAGCAAAAACTTACTTAACCCCATAAGCATCATCGCATTGTGGATCGATTGGTTCCCACTCCAAAGATGGCATGAGCGGAGGAGCAATAATAAGAAGGTGCTCCCATGCCCAAATATGAAGGATGAAAGTAGGACCACTAATTTGAGGCGTCATGACGCTTGTAGCTCTACATAGCTCACGATAAAGCCAAGCCAAGCATCCGGATCCCCAACTCTTCCTCCCAATGTCGTCCCAATCGCTCAGGAGTATGTGCAGACATATGCCATGCATGTAAGTTTGTGACTTGTTAGAAAAGAGAAGTCTCATCAAATGATTGACACATTATTCTTTTTATATTTAATCTCCATTAACTTGGGCAGTAATACCAAGACTCGAAGTATTTGTTGCGCCCAACGATCCTCCAAATGTCTTGACGTCCCGGTGATGGCTTCTCCATTGATCGGCAGCCTAGTAATGATTGCGACATCCATCATCATGATAGTAATCTCTCCGTCTCAAGTTGTCACCTCTCTGCCAAATCCATCATAAACTCATTGTCAGTTTGCATATTAACAAAAACTCGTGCTCAGAACAATCTCGCTATATGAAGGTAAGGCTCGTACCATCTATGCCACGTTGGCAATCGCGAATTCCCCCTATAGATGATGGGGTGATACTCTTCCTATTAAACAATACAAAGAAAAGTAAGTTTGGTATTGATAAAATGTTGAAACTCTATTTACACATATATGATATGGAGGATCAAGGGCCAAGCATGATCGTTGATTCCTTTAATAGGTCAATAATTTTGAGTCTATCGGCTTAGGATTTATGTGTAAGTTCGGAAATCGTTGATTCCTTTAATTTAATGATTTGATTCAAATTTTGTTTAACAACAAAACAATAATATTTAACGAGAAATTAATGTTTTCTACTAAGACATTATGTTTGTCTTATTACATTCCAATGATTCTCGTACGGACATGAAGATAATGATTTTCAATGAGCCAATCAAGATTTTCTACTAAGACATAGGTCTTAGAGCGTTCCTCCATTGATTCTCGATGATAAATCACTAAAATAAATAAAAAGTGCACAACATTTTCAAACAAACTCGGAAAGAAAAAAACTTTATGTACCCTTAAAGCTTCCCCTTCCATTCATGACAATTAGAGTTACACTAAAATTTTAAAAGGGGAAGGGGTATCACAAGCACAAGGATAGCGTTCTGGTGCGGAAGATTGGGATTAGCCGCAACCACAGAGCATACTAGGGAATCCTTGACTTGTGGAGGTTGTATGAAGAAGAGAGTGGATGGTGGTGTGGTTTTTTTTTTTTACAAAATATAATCATATATTGATTGAACAAATAGATAGTTACATCTTGGAGCCCAGCCAGTCCTGAAAATCAAAGAATCGACTTGCAGTCGGCTACAAAGAAAGGACCTCGAGAGCCACCAAAATGAGCTATCCTACTGTTACTCCGACCTACAAATTATACACTAAACCCCATGTTCATTGCGAAAGACTGGACAACCTCTTCAAGAATAAGCCCCATCCGATTATCTCTTGTATCTGCCCGAAGGATTTTCTCAATGACCATCTGGGCATCAACTTCAAACCACATCTCTAAAAAGCCATGTCCCAAGCACCACGAAATAGCCTCCCGGAGAACAAGTAACTCAACTACCATAGGGTCATCAATCAACAGGAACTGAATCCCCTTTACCAATAGGATCTCTCTAGCATGAGTCATGATAACCATCTCGCCTGCCGCATGAGACTCACTCCTTACTGCCTCATCCCACATACAAACCGCCACTGTAGATCCATCTGGACCCAAGGGTGGAGTGTGAGTAACGGGGAGTTGGTGGAACGATCCACTGGCAGGCAGACCCACTCCTGAACGTGTTGGTTAAACGGTCGCATCAAGGCTGGAATCCCAAACGGTTTGCCCTCAAAGACAACCCAGTTACGAGGCCGCCAAATTCTCCATAGGACAGGAATTACCGCCATGAACAAAGCCAGTTGAAGTACCAAAGCCAACATTTTTTTCAGGAAGAGTGGGAAGGTGTGACGAGGCAAACAATCAATCTGAAGATTGATTGAACTCGAATGAAGAACAACACGTTCTTATTACGAAATTGGATAAAACGGAACCAATGGAAAATTCCACACTTGGGGAAAACTCGTATGGTATAAAAGGGTAGTTTCTCAGCCACTATTGAAGGGACTATTCAATCGATACACAAGCTCAGCAAGTTTGGAGTTCACCAAACCCAACAAGTTCGCAAACTTGCACAAAACCGAAGTTTCAATTTCAATTCCACAAAGTCTCTCTTTTACAACGAAATTAGAAGGCTATTTATAGCCAAGAAAACCTAATACAAATCTAAATGAACAAGGAAACAAATAAGGTAAAATTCTACTCCAAAAAGGTTACAAAATCCGGCCACAAACTCTCTTTCTTCAAACACAAGCTGGCTCCCAGCAAACAGTCCAAAAATAGTTGTCGTACTAACTTCGCGCCTTACATTCGAGGCCTTCCAGAACTCCAATCCTTCCTCCAATTCCTTCCCTTTGTAGACAAACACACCTACTTTTATATTATGGAAGCCTTTGGACTTGAAACAAATCCATACTCCTCAAATTGTGCTCCAAAATAGGCTTCACAAAACAGTTTTATGCCTTAGCCATTTTCAGGCAGTTTTCAGCTTTCCAGATAGCATCTTTGGACGTCTGAAAAACAACCTTCTGGACTTCCTCTTGGGATACCAAGCATACCATCGTGTAGATAAACTTCTTATCTTCAAAACAAGCTATCAAACTAGAATTTTCATTGGCCAATTGACATAACCAATCCTCCAAATTAGGCTACCTGAAACTGTTCGAACACTTAACCAAATTCTGCCCTTCTTCTTCCCAACTTCAATAGCTTCTTCGTCAAGTAATAAAAACGTGTAGATTTGGCCATTTGGGATCATATTAGGGATGGTCCAATTCCTCTCACATTCCAGGCCAGTAGCCTCATTTATCAGAATGGGGCCACTCTTGGGTGGCTTCCTCCACCATTCCAGTCTCATTCTGATCCTCCACAAATTGCTTCTTGGGGGTGGGACTATTCCCAATACCCCCATCCATCTCTTGAAGCGAACGTTTACGGGTCCCATTTTCAATGTAAGACTCATATTCATTTAGCTTCATAATAATTTCTCCTTCAGCAACTTCCAAACACTCTTTGCCTTCATTGATGACCATGTTAGCCTCAAAAGCAGCGACCACATGTCGCACATGTCCCGAGTGGACTTGGCGAGCCTGCAGCATGATGACTCCTGCTTTTAATCTCAAAGCGGAGCTCGTCTTCATCCGTTAGAGAAGCAGCTGAAGCCACCCGTTCATCAGTCTTCGTGGGCAAGTCCATTGTCGACTTCTCCTTCCCCGTCAAAGGAGAAACATTCCCCTGAGAGTCCTCCACCACCAGAATCTTGCCACCCTTGCCCTTGCGAATTCCTTTGCCCTTCCCGAAACTGTTTTGGCCCGAGCTTTTGTGGGTGGTCCCAACAGCAGCCCGCGGACGCAAAGAGGAACCTGCCGACTGCTTTTTGTTGGCAGGAAGAGGAGTAGTATGCTCTTGGACTGGATCAGCAGCAGTCTTGGCCTCCCCCATCTTCACCAACCTCCATCCCTTCTTCTTTTCCTCTTCGACCCGCATCGCGGCCCAAAATGGAGGAAGTTGGCCGACTGGGTTCCTCATTAGAATCATCCAAGATTAGCTTCCGGCGTCGAATTTCAATAGGTGGAATCATCACCTTATTATGATTAGCGACAAAGTGGTCATCAACACCATCAAGATCTGACACCGGGAACTCTACCGCATCATTAAACTCCATAAGATGTTGTGCATGGCGTCCCTGCCGCTCCACGTCCACCAATCTCTCTCGCTCATTGCATCGCAAAGGGACGCGCCCTCTATGAGCCTCGACAGCATGATCACGAGCAGGCATATTGGCAGTACGAGATCGACCAATCATGATTAGCGGAGAACCTCGACACCTTGAAACCCCGAGGGCTCTGGCGATGTTGCATTGCTGCCACTGTTGGGGAAATAGCAGCCCCCGAGTTCTGATGACGGTGCCGAGGTTGAGGTATGTAAGCCTGCGCTTGTAGCTCACCATCATGATCACTGTGATTTCCCGCACCATCCTTGATATTCCTCCGTTCCCGGTAATTTTTATTGACCCAAACAGAATTAGCTCCTCTCGGGAAAGCTTGATTGTGATCTTCAGTGTCATAGATCCGTGTCCCCAATTTCCTAGTTGACATATGAGGTCTGAATTTCTCATTTCGGGTGTGCGGATCAAAAGTGCAGGTACGAAGTGAATGTCCCACCCTCCCACAGTGGTAGCAAAAGCTGGGAAGGTACTCGTATTTCAGACTAACCCTGAAATACCCTATGTCATCATTAGTAGCCATAATCTGAGATCAGAGAGGTTTAGTGAAATCAATCAGAGCCATGACTTTCACAAACCAGCGCCCGTATCCTGGCAAAAACGCCGAATTCCATCACTTTGCCGATAGTGGTATTCACCATTTTCCTCTCAAAACTGTTGCGTGCAACAGTCTTTTTTCACATCCCACAATTGAACCCGGAATGGTGCAATTGCTAGGTCATCAAAAATTTGCTTCGTTATAACAGGAGTCCACGAACGGAGGTGGAGAATCTTGTCATTGATCACCCAGGAGTGCGTTTAAGCACCCAGATCTTAGTCTTTTCACTGGGGAGCATGAACTTGATCAGCCCATGTTTCGCCATCACCACCCTGAGTCATCCCTAGATGAGCAAAGAAGTAATCACTGATTCCCGCAACTCCGTGGTCGAGATACTATTGTTAGTGAAGAGCCGACCAAAGAACGAATGAGCAGTGCGATATTTCATTGACTACACCTCTTCCATCGAGAATAGAACCACTTGGTCCGAGGTAACATGAGACATTTTGTGATCCTGTAAGAGAGGGTCATCATTGTTAGCAGATTTCCCTTCAACCCCAAGTGATGGCGGACAAATCATGTCATGCATGCTGCATGTACGAAGCCAGGGCGAGGAAACTTGACCGAGCAATCCAAGGATGCATAAATATTTTGCCCAGGCATGGAATGATACGAGGTGTGCAGACAATCAAATTAATTGGGCGAGGGGGAAGAGGAGGAAAGACAATAGTACCTGAGGGGGGGGGGGGGGACATGTGAGAAGTTGTGTCTTGTATTGCTCTCGTCGTAGCCCTAACTCATAGATTCGAAGATATCAGAGCAATAGGACTAGGCCCGAGAGTCTTATAGAAGAGACAGACCTCGTTACTAGGTTTGCTAGAGATCGCTCGGTTTAGGGTTTGTAGATAACGACTAGAGGGAGGACTCTTATTAAGAGATAATGGGAAATTAATATTTTTTGAAAAATTCCGTTAATCGCCGAGAACGTATCGGGGTAAATATTTTCCTCATAAACACCCGTCGTTTCGGATATCTCATCTTATTCTCATCGACTATGTTTGTCGAGTCGCCGGATAGAAAAGCATAATCCTTCATCAGCCGATTGAGAAAGGGTGACAACCCCGGTCGCTATTTCGTTGGCAACCATCAAGGGAGTGTTGTTTTCCAACCTCTCAATTTCTAATTCTTCCATTGAAGGAATTTTAAATCTCCAGACGATCATTCTAGAAAATTGCATACGTTTTGCTTTTACAAGAACAAGCAAGTTATTCTCTGTTAGGACAATCCCAAGCTTCTGTTTACCGTTCCTTCGAATGAAACAACAATCATCTATGGTACTCAAGCCATAGCTAGGTGTATGATCTCGTTGTTGGCGACGTGACGAGAAAGCCAAGTCCAACGCCCTGAGGGGATGTCGCCGCTTGTTTGTCTTCCGGACCTGATTCAGAAGTTTATTCCTCAAGCAGTATGAGAAGATTTAAATCACCATTGTGATAAGTAGATTACCATTCCAATGTCTGAGGCGAAGGAGAGAGGGGAGAGCTCCACCCATTTTTTTTAAACCCCCACGAGTTTGGCATGTACCACATTATGGTGTGTGGGTTGAAATGAGAGGGGAGTGGGGTATTTATAGTGAAGTGGGTTGGGAGCACAACTATGCAAGGTACAATTATTTATGCCAAACAAAACGTTGTCCCCAACAGCTATATGGGTCCAATAAAATGAACCAACTAGGACGGAGCACGTGAAGGATTGCACATAAAACCCTGACTGTGGGAGTGCTTTACATAAAGCGCTATCTGACGGTGTGCTTTGCGCCATGTCACTTAAAGCGCTCCACAGTGCATCTGTATGTGTACAAAAAAATTGGACCAATTACAGCGAAGGGCTTAGATTTGAGCTAAACAACTTTTTAGATAAAATGCTTTCACTTTCAGCGCTTTAAGTGGTTTAAACGCTGCGGCTTTTTATTTAAACGCTACTATAGTTTGCGCTTTGTCGTTAAAGCACTCTAGATTATAGCTATTTAACTTAGATCACTTCCCATCTCAACGTTTTAACAAAAATGCCATTTTTGGGGCATTTTTGTTTTTAAAACACTTTCAGTAGCATCATTTTATGTGGTTTAAATGTTGTTATAGATGGCGTTTTGTCTTTAACGCGCTCTTGCTTACAACTATTTAAATTAAATTGCTCACATCTCAATATTTTAACTAAAATGCTACTTTTTGGGGTGTTTTTGTTTTTAAAACACTCGCAATAACAACGTTTTATGCCAAAGTCGGGCATTCCAGGAATAAACCACAATATTGGGTATTTGAGGAGTTAAATTTCATAACTAGGAGAATCCGAGCAAAATCTCAGGATTTTGGGACATGGTACTATACTCAAGCTCTTAAGGATCCACGTCAGCATACACGTCTGAGATTAATAAAATAAAAAATCTTAATTTTTTTTGAAACTACAAATAAAATAATAAAAAATATCAGTTCTTTATTTTTTGTTCCTTTACTCTCTCCGCCTCTCGACTCTCTTTTTCCCGATCCTCTTCCTCTCTCTGCCTTCCTTTTTCCTTCCTCTTCTTCCAGAAAACGAAAAAGCTCGATCTGGATCCTGGCCAAGCCAAATTAAGCACAGAAGCGCCGATCTAGATCTCGTCGGAGATGAAGCTCTAGCGACGCCGGTTTTGGCGACGATGGCGGTTTTCGCAGCGAGGGCTTGAGGGTTCTGAGCGCCGATCTAGATCTAGTCGGAGACGAAGCTCCAACGATGGCGGGTTTCGCGGTGATGGTGTCGACGGCGGGTTTGGCAGCGAGGGCTTGAGGTCGACGTCCTCATCTGCACCTCGTTTTCTCTTCTCATCAATCTGGAATCGCAAAAGGTGCCTCTATTAGCTTCACCGATGTCTCCCTTCTTGTATCCCCGATCCAATTCAGGCTCATCCTCATCCGAGCATTTCGATTCTGACCCAGACGTATCATTACCGTAATCTCCGCTGTCGTATCCCCCGTCGGATGTTGATTTCCCGCCTTCACTGTTGCTTCTCGTTTCAGCGCCGTCCAGATGCGCTCTTGGGATCATTTGCACCAAGTTTGGGAATTTTTGGGTCCCTTTTTGGAGGGGAGGGCAATCCCGGAAGCAGGGTTTTTTGGTCGATGGGTAATTTGGGGCTTACTGTAGCCGCAGTGATGTGATTGTGGTTGATAGAGAAGGACGAGCGTTGGTTTAATTTTTATGTTTTCCCTAAAATAATAAATGGTTATTAGAGAATAATGTGGCATAATAAAAAAATTAATTTATTGCCACATCAGCACTTCTTTTGCCCGCTCAGTTTTAACTAATGAAACTGTTAATGGAAACTTAATGTTTGGATAATAAATAGAATTGGTTTGGATAAAATACAAGAATTTTGAAAAGGTTTGGGTAAAAAATAGACATTGCTCTATTATATATTGTGTGTTACTATGGTCTTGTTTATATTATATCATATCATTATAGGTTGCTAACATACTGCTTTTATATGATATGCGATTGTCTTATGTATGTATGTTTTGTTGGACTCAATTATGTATGCTTGTATAAAACCAATGCTTGATATAGCAGATCATCGATGCCATAGATCAATGCTTAATAAGAGCAAAATCTCATTTGCTTATGACAATATAGATTTATATATAGCTTTTGTTTCAGTTGAATTTGACAGTTCCTCTTTCAGAAGAAAAGTTTGAGAAAATCTCATAGTTGACTGTCAAGTAAGATGAATCTAATTGAATTAGGATGAATCTAATTGAATTAAGCTATCTGTAATTAACAATGAAACAACGATTAAAGTGAGTGGCTAATAAGAAAAATTAAAAAATTGGTTGAATGACAAAAGTAAAAATAATTGATAATTCGAGTGACCAAACGTATAATTAGCCACTGAGAATGAACGGGAAAAGCTCACTAATAAATATCGAACAGCATATGGGCATATGGCTGTTTCTCCGTTCGTCGTCCAGTTCTTGTACATGAGCCATTCAGCACCACCGTTCAAGCTCGATCTCCGGTCCGTTTCCTCTATTCTGAAGACTCATATCTTTTGGGGTCGTTTACATTTTACCACTTAATTTCAGTCTGTCCACTTTCCGATTATGGTTGTCTATGATTGTAGGAAACGATATCTGGTCTTCTTTAATCATATCTGTTGATCATTCGCTTTGGGGATGAACCTCAGCATTTGCATTTGATGTTTTTTTTGGTTGAGTCCCTTCTTGCATGCGGCGGAAACGGAGGGGTTTTTTTTTTGCCGCATTTTGCGGAGTTCTGTAGGAGTTTGTATTTTCTTTCGCGGGGTTTTCTCCTCAACTTTCCCTTTTCGGTTTGAAAAAGGTCTGTTTCCTGTGTGAGATTTGACCTAATGTTCGGCCATGTTTGATGTTTCTATCCTTCTTCCTGCTGCTTCTTCAAGGTTAATTATCTGCATGCACCTTGGAAGCCGTCAAATCTATGTACATGAATTTGGGTTAAAGCTTTTAGTGCAATGAGTCAATCTTTAGGTCGCCTTGGATTAAAGAATGTCTCTTCTATCAATTGCGGGGAGCTTTGTTGAATCCAAACGCAGCATTGGGTTTCATGATCTCTTGGCTAGTTGTCGTTTCTAGTTGGTTTCGGCATAGTTTGTAACTATTTATTGTTCAGTTTGTCGTTAGTAAAGGTTTCTCTATTTGACCATCTTCAGTTTTGCTATAGTGTTGATAACTATGGAAGTATTGCAGTATCTCATTGAGGGCTGAAGTGATGCATTTTCTCCTTTTCGTTTTGAATGCTTTTAAGTCTGGGTTTATCTTGGGAACAGAGGTCAAAATGAACTTGGAGAAAGGTAAAGTGGGTGATGCTTGCATTTGTCATCAAGCAGAATGAGGACCAAACCTTCATGGTTAAGTGTCATAGCTTGAACAACTGCGATGATATAGCAGCAAAGGTTGATGCTGTAGTTGTAGATTCTCTTCATAATTGGCCTTCTTCTCCTTGCAAATTACGTTGCGATTATGACTTGCTGGAGCTTGTGAGTGTTAAGATTGATGGTAGTTGGCAGCAGGGAAAACTACTGGAGTTTTTGCTGGGAGAAAGTTATATGATAACTTTTCAGCAGCAGAAATAATTATTGGATTTTTAGGTGGAATTTAGGCTTCATTCACAGCGGGATGATGGAGAATCGAAAACTGAGTCATCGGCTGTATCAAAAGTGGAGGGTTCTGTTCATCCCTTAACCTGGGCATTTGCTTTTCAACTTTTCTTTCCTCCCTTTCCCTGATAAGTTGCCAAGGGAATTCTTATTGAAAACTGTTTCTAATCTTTGCAAATTTGTCTCCTTTTCTGGTACTAACTATATGGATTCATTCATTGTGTTTTGTTTTTGGCATGCCTGTTGCAATTGGCAGAAGCAACTCTATTGGGCTTACAGTCTGGTCAATCAATGGCCTGGCATTACGAACTGAACTAAAATATTGGTTGTGCTTCCACATTATTATATCATTTTATGATACTCTTAGTTATAACTTATAAGTGGTAATTTTATTTATATTTACTTGGTCTCCTGTGGAATGTGTTTCTGACAGAAACATATGTTGGGTGGTACTTATTCATTGTAAACCTCCGAGCACCCAGAAAGTTGTGTATATCTCATAACCTCCAATGTTTTAGCCTCAGGAACCTGTGATAGCTCTCAGTCACCTGGAAAAGCTGGATTCTCATGGTTCTGCTTCTGGCAATCTTGGACTAGCTGTAACTCCTGTTTAAACCTGCTGCACCCAACAATAAACCCAAAGAGGAAATACCTAGATCCTCAACTACAAGGACTAATGGTGGATGATTCAGCTGTGTGCGCTAAAACGCCCGTCTCAGATGTCTCGACCTCAAGGAAGAAGAAGAAGTTCAAACTAGACACAGTTATGGCCAATTGTATGCATTCACTTCATCAGAACAACTTAAAATTAACTTACGGCGGATATATCACACCGTGCCTGCTTACCCTCAGTTGTCTTAATTGTGCAACGTCTAGGCCTTATTTGGAGTGCTGATTTTCCTGATAAGGGAAGTAATCAAGGGCACGGTACCATTACAGACGTCAAGAAAGCTAAGGGTGTACCGGAAGAACTCCCTATTGCCTTAGGGTTGGGGGCCATTGATAACAAGTGTTGGATGAATCTCGCGAGGATGAATTCAGTGGTAAGGAACTTTGTTAGTTTGTGAAATTGAATAAAGCAAAAGCAATACTTCCAGGTAGAGTACTGGCCACTGGGCCAAGGCACAGTCTTCAAGCTCTATGTTGTGTAATGTTGATCCATGTTCATTTAGGTAGTTTATGCAAGCGGTTACATTTGTTTGCCTAGCTTCATTCGTGAACCAAGAACCAATAACATCAAATTGTCTGATATGCTGTAGCGTGAACGTTCCTTGTGTTCTCCCTCCCTTCCTCTCTCGATTAAAAATTTGAATCTCTTTATGAAATGGAACAATCTAATTATTTGGGAACTTATTTCTTGAACAGGAACACAGTCAGCAGAAAGTTGCAGGGAGTCAAGGAAGAAAGAGTGTCACAGGCAACCAGCAGAACGTTGTAGGGAGTCAAAGAAGAAAGAGGGGTAGGCCACGTAAAGTAGTTGGCACAAATCCAATGACTGAGACTGGTATATACACATTCTTATACAAGCATATACATTAATTGGTTGGGTAGTACATTTGTCACAGTAGGTTAGTATGCATGATGATCTGCAGGTATCGAAATCAGTGACACTGTTAATGGTAGTCAAATGGTTGTAAAGGTTGTGACTGACCATGAAGTTGGAGGACAATTGCAGCCAGAGAATGAGTATGCAGGTAAGAATGAAAATGGAAAGATGGTGGGGAAAAAAGCATCATTTGAGAAAATTTGGGGGTAAACCATCATTTGAGCTGGATAATTAAGGTGAAGTTAAGAATGAAATCGGAAAAATGAAAAGAAAAAAAAAAGCATGCCTGCTTAAAATAAAATGGAGATTGATGAATGAGAACTTGAGTTAGCCTTGAGACTATTGCGTAAACTAAACCTACAATTATTGATTATTGCTAAAGAAGTGTGCAGTCTTTACTCTTTTTAGAACTTGAACTCTACTTGTAAAATTCTACAGATGCTATTAATGAACGGGTGATGAAGATTTCTGATGATGTTCCTGGAATAGAGAGTTTGGGAAATCAAGCTACTGATTTGGTACTTTCTACATCTGGGGGTGTTGTCGAAGATCATCAACCTCTATCAATATGGCTTGGAGGACTCAGCTGCTCATCGACAAGTACGGATGAAGGTGATGATTAAGTTGCTTATTATCAAAGTTAAGTTCTTTGTTGTTCCCCTGATCCAGTACTTTGTTTAGTTATTGTTGTGCTCTGGATTATCTTCTGCTCTGTCAGGTAATGGATTGTGTGATGGGAAACATAGGCAGCAAGTTGTTACTCTGGCAACTTCTCCTCCAGTTAGTACCAGTTCTGATGATGCTTTGCCTTTCGTGAAGAGGTCACCACTTTGGGCAATACTTGAATCCGAGGAAATATTCCAGACCATGCCACATAAACCTCATTTCCTTCCCCTAATGGAATGCAAAGAGGATTACCGCGAAGGCGTAGCGATTGGTATCACGGCAACTTTCCTCAATCTGTTAAAAAAAATATCCAGCCTTGGCATTGATGATTCCAGGACCTTGTTCGAAACCACCCTCGACAGTTTATCCGAAATGGAAATGCATGGGTTTGATGTCACTTTGCCACGAGGCCGCATAAACAAGCTGCTATCGATCAGGGAACCGTTGAGCGAGTGTCCGGACATTGTCAAGAATGCTGAAAGGGAGCTGCAACAGCATTCCGAGGAGAAGAGAAAGCTGGACGCAGCGATCCAGCACATCCAAAAGGAGATATCGGCGTTACAACAAACACTGGCCACAACCAAGATGGAGCTAGATGCTAATGAAGCCAGAACTGCAGTTGTGCAATCGTGGGTTGATGAAATGAAAGGGCGCTTCGAGAATGCCAGGAATGAGTTCAAGCGTGTAGCAGCTGGCCCTTGGAATTAAGGTACACCAATAGTGAATGGTATCCTTATGGAAGAAGCTACATTGTTAGAATTTAACTAATACTTGCAAATGACGAGGCTTGAGCTTGACATGGATATGCATTTTAGATCTCTGTATTAGCTTGCTCCTGACTTTTAACTACTGTTTTTTTCTTCTTCTTTATGTTAACCAATATCAGGTTTGAACATTTGTTGGTCTATGTATGTTTTAGTACTAGTTGATGAGGAGCCTAGAAGTTTATGTAAGGTAATGAGTAAGGATGTATTGTTGAAGTTCAATTTTCGCTGTGTTAGGTTTGAGTGCTTTGAAGTCTTCGTTGCCTCTTTTTTTTGTTTTTAATTAATTCTCTACGTATCATTAAACTAGCTACAGATTTCCTAGTATGCTGATTCAGTTTTGTCCAGTTATGGTCACCTGTGTACGATCCCTGCAATCTTCTCCCACCGTTATCCAGCTTACCCTGGATCGATTGGGGTGCTTAAGAAGGACAGTTATACACATATACTTATTGGACGCTAAAATGATGTTTTATTTATTTATAAATAGCCTGTATGATTTCGGTAGAAATAGACAAATAGTACATGAGTCAGCCAATAGGGTGAACACAAGACCTTTCGGTCACATAAGGCCTCTGATATCATGTCAAGAACCAGTTGATCCGAATAACTCAAGTTGTTGGGAGAGGTTCAATCGTGGATCATATATGCCATTCAAGCCCTTGTGAGTGGCTTTCGTTTGAGAGGGCGTGTTAGTGTGTGGTATATGATTCACTATTGAACCTCTCCCAACAACTCGAGTTAATGGGACCAACTGGTTTATGACATGGTATCAGAGCTGGTATGACCAAGTGGTTCTTGAAAATTATAAAAACTAAGCGGTCGAAGTTGTGATTCTTTAAATTGATGAATTCTATCAATGTGTATATTCTAAAATGATGTTTTGTTTGAATGGTTTATTTGAAAAATCACTTTTTTGGAGGTGTAGATTGTGCTTTTCACATATCTAAAAAAGTAATATATTTTTTGGTTTAAAGAATATTTGCCCTTCATTAACTCTTTTATTCAAGGAGAGAGGAGCCATGGGTGAGGCTAATGTTGGAACAAACAAAAAGTAGAAGGGATAAAAGTGAAATAAAAAATGGGTTAATATATTTGTATGACCTGAACTTTGACCATAATAAACATCTTGGTCAATCTTTTCGATCTGTAACATCCTAGTCCAAACTATACATCAAAGTAACGACATTGGCCAAACTCGATGTTTGATCGTTAAATTAGACGGTCAAATGTGTTGACTAACGGTCAATGCGCCACGTCACTGCTAAGTCAACAACTTTCACTTAATTTTTTTTATAGTTTCCACCTATTATCATTTTTCCTTTTCATTTTGAACAAAAAAAAAAATTAATCAAAACAAAAAACAACTATTACATTTGATAAAAGTTCCACCAAACTACATACCCTGTCTATTACCACTACTTCCTCTTCTACAACCTCTCGCACGTCTACCACTTCCTCTTTGCTGGCTCCCAGCCTCCCACTGCCACTTGCTTGGCCACCACAAGTTGATGCAGTATGTCCAGCTACTTCTTCTCTTGGCTAATCTATCTCGTTGTGAATTCTTGTTGTTTGTGGCCTCCTCGGTAGGGATGGCAATTTCGACCTGACCCGATTTACCCGACCTGTTTGGCCTGTTTTGGGCAGGTCGGACCCGCCCCGTAGGCGGGGTGTGGCGGGCATGGGTACCTCTCATCGACCCGACCTGCCCTGACCCGCCCCATTCTCGACCCATTCTTGCCTAAATTACATGGAATCTTAGTAAAATTACTTAGCTATAATAAAGTTGTAAATAAGTGAAAACATCAATTTCTTAAATAATTTAACTACATTTTATCATATTATGGTTTTTTTGGTCTTTTAGTGAAAATAACGAATATTTCTAATGGTTTTCGCATAAATTACGTACACATTGGGTCGACCTGCCCCGACCCACGCCTCGTGATAAATTACCCGACCTGGACCCGACCTGCCATGGGGCGAGTATGGGTATCGAGAAACCCGCCCCGGACCCGCCCCATTGCCATTCCTACTCCTCGGCTTCCGAATCATGTGCACATTAGGATGGAGAGTAGAGCCATTGTGCTTCTTCCAACTCTTAGGTTCACTAAGAGCTGTGAAACTTGTCTCATAACAAGCCAATACTGTTTCAAACTTATAGATGTGATTTACAAACATATACGGGTTAGCCCCTATTCGGTTGCAGGCTGCAATGACATGAGAGCAAATAATTTTATTTCCTTGAAATTCCCACAAGTTCAAAATCCCGCCCGATTGTGGTCGTCGAAGTGCACTATGAGTGTGTTCGAACCCGTCATTTTGAAATTGCTTGGAGGAGTCTGAACTACATGACAAACAAATTCACTAATTACTAACTAAACAAAATTATAATTGCATTTTAATAATATAATTAAAAAAATAAATGTGTCTCTTACCTAGCCATCTTTGCAGCAACCAACATAGCTCCTCCCTCTCGTTTAGCTTACTCGTATTAGTTTTTGGTGTGGTGAGGAGCAACTGAAAAGAAAGCCTGACATATATGCTGAAGTGGGTGGGCAAGGTAGTCAGTCCGCATAAGACTCATGCGAAACCGCTGGTCAACATTTGGGGAATTTGTAAGCAAAATAAAGAAAAAGCCAATGGAATCAAACCAATCTCACGCGGCCCCGATGGTCAATATTTTAGGAAATTCACCGAAATGAAAACAAAGACAGTGCCACTCAGAACCAAAAAAAAAAAAAAAGATATAGCCCGCCAGTTTCACGCATGTCCGCGCTTTTTACATAAAAAATCTTAAATAGCAGATCCGCTTTAGTCTGATGCGAACGCGCTCTCTTCCCCTCTAAAACACAGTATTTGTGTCAATAAATTTAAAACCGCCATATTTGTGATAAATTGAAAAAAATTACAATATTTTGGAAATTACCTCTCAAAATCCCCATTTTCAAATCCAACAAGCAAACACATTATAGGGGTCGTTTGGATTAGGGTTTTGTTTGAGGGATTTGGGTACAATCTCTCAAAGTGAGGGATTTTAATTAAAATCACTTGTTTGCGAAGTATTTTTTCGATAAGAGATTTTAAATATTCCGGATTCTAAAAACCCACATTTGTGGGATTGTGAAATAGCTGATGACCATAAGCTATTTTGAAATCTCTCAATATTTTACCAATTTGTTCCATATATACCCATGCTTTTTTCTGAAAATCCAAATGTACCCTTCTTCTAGGGAGTTGATAAAGGTCGTCCTAACAATTACTAATGATCGTCCTAAAAAACAACAAAGTTACACTTTTAACCTTTTGACATCTTTACCTTTCCTTTAGCAAACAAACACCACATTCACCGTCGGGACACACTATTTCCGCCTTCTTCTTCTTCTCCTTAACCTTACGTGGATTTTTTTCTTCATTTTCTTTTCTACCGGTCGCTGTAAGTCTACAAGCACGACCTTCCATTCTTCCTTCCGTTTTTTCTTCCATTCTTTTCTTATTCATGTACGGTTTGCCTATTCCATGTCCAGACATCTTCAAAAAAAAAAAAAAGATTTACAATTAATGATAATCAAATGCATTAACATTTTCTGATAATTTTCTCTAATTTTTTTGTAGTTTTTTGATAATTTATTAACATTAATTACAACTTTCTTAGTGATTTCTTCTAATTTCGGCTACTTTTTAATTTTCCTATTATTTCTAATATGTTTTTTAAATTAATTACAAATTTACAGATTATATTTCTGAATTTTAATACTCTTTAAAATTTTCAAATAATTTTTAATAAATTTTTATACATTATTCACAATATTTTTTTCATAATTGAATTCATAAAACTATTCGAATATAATTTTTATAATTAATTATAAACTGTACAACTTATTTATAATTAACTACAATTTATTTCTTATTTCTTAATTTAGAATATTTAATAACAATTTTTATTAATTAATTGCATTAAAATAATTTAAATACAAAACCAACCGAAAATTGACCAAGGTTTGACCATGGGTCAACCGAAAGTTGACTTCGGTTTGACCATGGCTAAACCGAAAACTGACTTCGGTTTGACCGAAGGCCAACCGAACGTTGACCTCGGTTTGACCGAGGGCCAACCGAACGTTGACCTCGGTTTGACCGAGGGCCAACCGAACGGCGGCTTCGGTCGTCGAAGGGAGGGCGTCGAAGGGAGGAGGGAGCTGACCTTCTCCGGCGAGTGGGGTTTGACGGCGCTGTTGGCGAAGACGGCGACTGCTGGCGCTGTTGGCAACGATGGCGACGGCGAGTGGGGTGCGGCGCGACGAGGTGGACTGACGGCGCGCGACTCCCCTCCGACGGCGTGGGTTGCGGCGGCGGACTACGCTGCAGACTGACGCGACTCCAGCAGCGTGGGTTGCCGCGGCGGACGGCTCCGGCGAGGTGGGTTGCGGCGGCTGCTCTGCTGCCTGCGGCGGCTTCCTTTTGTCGGGGGAGAGTTGTCTGTCGGGGGAGAGGAAGTGGGGGAAGGGGTTGTTTGTTTAGGGTTTGTTTTTGAATTTTAGAAAGGGTAATTCAGTAAATTACGTATTAAGTTAGGACGACAATTAGTAATTTTTAGGACGACCTTTAACCCTTCAGTTCTTCTATTAACCCTTGGTTACTGTCTATCCTTCAATTCTGTCCCTGCCACAACGCTGGAACCCGTCGTTCTGTTTTAATCCCACCCAAACGAAGTTGCTCGAAGACGAACTAGCAGCTGCCGCTGAGTGCTGACCGGCAGCGAGTTAGCTTCGGAGAGTAGGGAATTTGCGGCGACGAACCCTTCTTCCAGCAGGTGAGTTCGTGAAACCCTCCTCCGATCTTCCTCCTTAGCTTGTTTTGGTGGGATGCGATTTCGTCTCAATCAGAATCTTTTGGGTTTTGGGTTTATAGCTTGCTTGTGGTTATTTGGCGAAGGAGAGCAGAGGGTACCAAATCGTTTCTCCTCTTGTTTGAACTTTGGGTGCCCGCGCCTCTCTTATTTGGATGCTTCGGAAACGGGAGAGAGCCGGTGAAAACACGCGACAAAAAAAGCTCCCGGAGCAGATGAAATTTCTTCTACTCCGCCAGCTTCCGATCTCTTGCTTTACTTTTTCATTCTGCTCAGTAGTTTTCATCTCCGATTTCCTTCTAAGAATCATATCTTAATCGTTTGCCCGAGTTTGAAGGCTATCAATTGCATGGAGTCATACAATGGCTGGAAGTAGTAGGCTAATTAATGGGTGGTATTTTCTGGGTAGAAATTAGGGGAGTCAGAGAATTTTACAATTCAGGGTGATATGGAGATAGATGTATGCACGAGATTTAACTCTAGGTTATTAGCTAGAGAAAATTATGCTCTTTCATGATCCATCTAGGATGATAGTATGAGCTTCCAGTGTTACCTTTACCCTAAGTTTGAGACTCCGTGTAAGTGATAAAACTTCTCCACGCCAGAGCAACCATGGTTTCACCAAGAGGGGAAGTAACTCCATTCGCATCACTTTTCCCTGTGGACGAGGCTCATAAAGCAGTGAAGCGAGTTGAGGAAAAAATTGCAGAGAAGCAGAAGGAGATGGACCATCTCAAAGAGTTCATCGCTGATAATAACAGCATTATAAACCTCGTCTCTAAACTACCCGAGGAGCTTCACCATGACATCATGGCAAGTGGAATATCTCTTATGGATCATTATGCTTGCATCGTAAATCGTTTTAGTTTCCCTGTGGCTTTGCGTTTTTAATTCTTGTTCTGTGTCATGTAGGTTCCTTTCGGAAAGGCAGCATTTTTTCCTGGCCGGTTGATACACACCAATGAGTTTGTGGTACGATATGTTCTTCTTTGGATTACCGTTGTGCATAATGATGTTGGTTTCTTCCATTTTCCTTAAAACTGTATGTTTGAGTAATCAGTATTTTCTTGGATTCTATGTATCTCGTTAGTGGAATTGTGATGTCTCCTCAAGAAGGGTAGATGCCAAGTTCTCGACAGAGTTATTTTAATTTGTTGGTTTGCCACGAGGTTGTCAAGGTTTCTAGTTTGTAAAAAGTTGACCTATTGTGCAGGTTCTTCTCGGAGAAGGATACTATGCCGAAAGAACATCGAAGCAAACTGCTGACATTTTGAAAAGGAGAGGGAAGGCTTTGGATTCTCAAGTTGAATCTCTTAAGGCCAACATTAAGGATCTTAAAGCTGAGGCTTCCTTTTTTGATACTACGGCTTCAGAAGCAGCTGTAATTTCATACTATCTCGCTTCTGTGTTTGTTTCTCTTTGGAGGACTGTTATCCAATTGATCAATGGATCATGTATGGGCATGCATGTGTCTCCATGTTTATAAGTGTCTCTCTGCTGTGCTGTGGCTGTTGACATTCATTGATGACTTCATGACAGTGAGTTTTGGTATTGCATGTTTAGTAGGATATTAATGTGTTGAGGAAGTGCTGATCAATAACCTAAATTGCATCAAGGAATGTTTTTTCATATGTTCATGTTGCTACTTATTATGTGACAACATTTGATTTACAGTTCGCTATACATTACTTATTTGGATTCTTGTTCACAGTACAGCTAACTAGTCTTTGTCTAATCCACTTGCTTTCAACATGAATCAATTACATGTATTCTGTAACTCTTTTCACCTACTGTATTGAAGCTTCTTGCGTCAAACATTTATGTATTATCTGCAACTCTTTTCATACTTACTGTGTCCATTCTATGTGTTTGAAATTCAGCGGAATTTTTTTTTCTATGTGTTTGAAAAGCTGCTTCCTTTTATTCACCTTATATATGAGACTAATGCAAATTTTTTACTTAATGTGACACAGGAGGGTCTTGTGGAGATAAGGGAAGATTATGTGGATGAAGATCTCGGTGAAGAACATTTTGAATCAGGCAGGTGATCGAATCTTACATCAGTAGTTTGCTTTAAAGTTTATGACACCGTCGACCTCAAAGCAGTTTGGCTGTTTGAAATGTTTTCTTTTTCTGTAGTTACTTTGATCTTTATGTCTGGTTATGTTCATTCTTATGGTTAGCTCTCTTCTGTGTGGTTCAGCTTTCCAAGGTAAAGGAGAGAGTCCTGGGTTGAATGAGAAGAAACATATGGTTGAAGAAGATGATGAATATACTCGTTTGATGGCGAGGTTGGACGAGCTTGAGAGAGAAGAACTTGCAGCTGAAAATGATGACGAGAGTATTGAAGATGATCCGGTGGCTAATGGTGCCCTTGAGGATGGGAATGAACAAAAAGAACAAAGTAACACTATAGAAAGTGATACTGTGAACTCTGAGCACTTTCAAAATGCAATATCTGGCGATCTGCTGCTATATCAGACTCACTCAATGGTAACTTCTGCTATTAATGGCTTCTAATTGGTCAAAGACTAGAGTTATAGATGATAATCTTGTGGTCAGTGATTTACCATCTCTATAGCTAACAAACTATGATTACCAGCAAAGGAAACCACAAGAGCAGGAGAAAATTGAGGATGTCACAGCTGAAGCTTTATGCAATAAGTATCAGAGCGACTTGAGTTTAAAGGACGAGCAAAATGTAAGAGATCTTGCCATCATTTAATTTTTCAATTTGTATTTCCATTGCATTGATATTATTTATCTGTTTTTTTGGACATGCAGCGTACTGGATCAACAATTCAGCCGCTTCCCAAAGGTTAGTTTTTTCAAGGTTGTACGTAATCATCAAAGCATCAGTACGGAACAAAAAGGTGTAGATGGTAAATGAAAGTTTCGACAACTAATTGGAATGCTTTCTTGTTACTTTATCTTCAGCGTAGCAACTGTAGTGTTCTTTTTGCCGAGGATAGCTATACTTACATGACTGTTTTGTTCAGTGTGTCTACTAATCACTAATGTGCATAACTAGGCTTTGCCCTCATTATTTTGCCTCCTTACATGCCTGATGATGATACCTACCTCAGAGCAGAAGGTTGCCTGTCCTTTTCTTTCTGTTTGATTTCTTTCTTGGTATGATTGTTCTTATGCCATTCCACGTGTTGCTTTCATGGCTAGCATTTCTTTGGATATTGTGCTTGAAACTTGTGAACGTTAAAAATGCATTAGTGGTTGGCTATTATTCGAACTGACATTTTATTGATCATGTTCCTTCATGGCTTTAGCTGAAAACTTGAGTAGCAAAAGTTCAACTCACGAGACAAAGAGGCACTTACACAATGAGAAGGCTTCAGTACTTCCCGAAGGGAAAATAGAAGCAATGTCCTCAGCTACACAGCCGGTACATAATTTATATACTCATTATCTATAGAGTTCATACTTACATCTGATTAGTCTTCTGAGCTGTCTGAACTCGCCAAATCAGTTAGAAAATTTGTGGCCTTTCTTGCTGCAGTACATATGCAAGTTGAATAGGCATCTCTCTATGTGGTGCATGGATCTCTTCTGAATTTTTTCGTTCCCCTAAAATCTCTTTACAGTGTTGAATGTCTTAACTTGACGAATGACAATTCTTCTTTTCGTTTAGGTACATATGCAGTCTGCAAGACCACCTTCTAATAGCTCCAAGGTACAACTGCACTTATTTGTATTATCCTCTCACCTTGCTTGTTTGCTGCTGTTGGTTGCTTATCATGCATCCATCTCTTTCATTTCCCACGGTCTTGTGAACTCTATCACTGAGCGCAATGACAACACACAAGCTAAGTCGCTGGTTGCCTTGTGTGTTCACTTTGTCTGCCCCCTATCATTTTCCTTTCAAGGAGGAAGAGTTTGCAATTAGTCGGTTCAAATGTTCTGAAATCCTAATCTAATAATCACGTCTAACTTTATTGCTCTCTTTTCCTGTAGACCGAGGCCTCACAATCTGGTTTTGACAGCTCCAAGGTATTTTTTTTCAGTCCTTGTGTTTATGACAATGGAAGAACTTGGATTTTACGTTTAGATTATTCTTAATGCATACCACATCCCCATGTGATGTAGGCTTTTACCGGCTCTATCGTGGAACGTTCAACTGATGTACTCACCGCTAAGTCTGCAACTCTGCCGGTACCTACTAGAAAGAGATTTGGCATTGTTATTTCCTCTGCTGTTTATCGTTACCGGTTCTTGACACCGTGCATTCAACCTTTTCAGCCTTCTGATTCTCAATCCAAGCCTTCAAGACCAGTTTCCAGATTCAAGATGCAGAGAAGATAGCTGCCATGTTAAATGTTGTGTAAGGTAGATGGTAACTCCTATGGCTATCATCAGGTATTGTTTAGGGAGAGCATCAAGACTGGGAAACCATATCTGAGTGATAATCCGAAACATTTAGAGCCAGTTTTTAGAATCAAGATAGAAGATGAAGGTTGTGCCTACATTAGTGATACAAATTAGAATAGGTCATGACTCGTGAGGTTGAGAACTATGCTCGAATGGTCAAATTCTAGAACAGAGATCCTTTCAGTGGTTTTGGTACTATTCTTTATCTCAAGAAGCAAAATTTCTACACTAAGTTACTCTGCGGACTTTTACAGTTACAAGTTGGGACTCAGCAGATTTTGACAGTTACACGATAGGCTAAGCAAGTACATCGCAAGTCGCAACATAAACTTTACACAGAAAAGTTCAGTGAAGAAGATTACAAGTAAGAACATTTCAGCCATTGGGCACCTTAAGTTTTTTTTTCTTGAAACTCCGGAGCAAGTCGTTCCTTTCTGAAGGAGTTGCTGAAAGTACCCACTTGCTGAATTCAAGTACTTCCATGCTCATGAATTCAGCCATGAGACCATACTGCATCTTCTTCCAATCCTCGATTTGTGAGCCACTCTCTTTGCCACCTGCATCATCTTGTTTCCTTCTCCGTTTATTAACAGAAATCGCCAAGCTACCCTTCTCCGAGACCCTCTTTTCTTCTTCAGTTTCTTTGGTCGTTCCCTGTCCGTAGTTGACAATGTCCTCATTCCTATGAGCATATAGAATACCAAGTTCGTCAAGCACAGGCCTCTCGAGATCTCCACGAGCATCAGTCGCGGTACTCGATAAGTTTGTAATCCCTAGCCGTTCAGGAAGAAAATGGGCCCCAATCTCCGCTGTTTCCTGCCTTGTGCTGGTGCTTTGGTCTACTTGTTGTTTGGTCTGTTTCGCATGCAGTTCAATGATCTCACTGGTGAAAAGCTTATCAGATAGATCACGAAACAGATTGCAGATTCCGAACAGCTCCCCCTGAAATGCTTTGCAATCCTGAAAAACAAGCAACCAAAAGTGAGAAGGGTGTGTTTGTTTCAGGTTTTTGCTGAAAAAATAGCAACTCAAATAGGGCGGTTGGAGATGGAACCTGAACGCCTTCAAAATAACGTTTTTCCATTTTGCCGGAGACGGCAATGTTGGACAGCTGCTGCTTGTAAACCTGACGGGAATACACAATCTCCTCGAAAGAACCTGCCGCTAGCAAGCGGAAAACCACGACGTGGCGCTTCTGCCCAAAGCGGAAGGATCTGTCTTGGGCTTGCAAATCCTGGGCTGGGTTCCAATTGGGATCAAATATCACAACTCTGTTCGCGCTCACAAGATTCAGCCCAAGCCCACCGGCACGGGTAGATATCAGAAACACCTGAGGACTTTGGAGGTTAGTTTTGCAGAGAAAGTCATGAAGAACAACAATTTTTCATTTCTGTCGCCCTCTGTGCATGGAGACTAGAGAAATAGAGAGAGAGAGAGAGAGAGAGAGAGAGAGAGAGAGAGAGAGAGAGAGCTACCTGTTTACTTGGACTTGAGTTGAAATCATCAACCAGAGCTTGGCGCGAGTTGGTTGGGGTAGAACCATCAAGTCTTGAAAAGCTATGGCCTTTCCGTATAAGAAACTTTTCCAATATGTCCAGCATCCTATGAAGAAACAAAACTTTACTGTGGATTAGTAGATGAAGGCCTCATGGAATGGAACAGTAGTGGAAAGTTATGAAGCTGTTTTTTTACCTGACAGAGAAGCTAAACAGAAGAATCTTGTCACCCCTTGTAGCCCAAGAAGACATCAACTTTTCCAAAGCACGCATCTTTCCACAGTGCTTAACATTGCTGAGATCCATGAAACTCTCACTCGGTGCATTCCCTCCCACCAACTCAATGTCAGGACCAAAGACCGCTGAGGCAAACTCTGCATCTTTTTGCTGTTTCTCTGGTTCGTCCCTGGGATTAGGCTTAATCAGCTCCAAATGATTGCTGATCTGTTAATAGGATCAGCATGTGAGCACAATCAGGCAGAAAGCACAAGTATTCATATCTGAAAGACTTGACCCTGTTTGTGTAAAGCAATCAATCTATGAGGAGTAGAACTTTGTTCACTAGAAAACATAAATTGGAAAACATACACTCACCTGTTGAAGCTTGACAAGGCAAGGAAGAACTAGGCAGAAGGGACACGAATCACAACCTTCAGGATTATCCCTGTGTAGGTAAGGCCAGATTATTCCATCTGGTACAGTCCTTTTACAACATTCGACTTGTTTTAGAGGACTACCGCAGCCACAGGGTCGGTCTTTGTTTATAAGGCATTGGATGTCTGGTAGCTGCAACATTCTCTGATAAACCCGTCTTTGCAATTCGCTCATGGCACAGAAAACTACATTATCTTCCTTCCCCATCATAAGATGGCCAATAGTCTCTTCTTTTGTCCTCCTAAGCATATATTTCCCAAGGACCGCTACAAGGTGCTCTTTCCGCTCATCAGCAATCCGGATAAATCTCTCTGGAGCTGTCGACCGCTGGCCATGCTTCAGAGGTTCATCATAGTAATCTCGGAAGTGTTCCCGTGTTCCTAAGGATCCAGGAGCAACCCAATCAAAGAGATTGAAAAGTTCCATTATCCTGTTTTGCATCACGGTCCCTGTGAGACCAATACGCCTGGGGGTTTTGATTTGTAAGCAAGCTGTGTACAGCTTTGACTTCTCATTTTTAAGGCGGTGTGCTTCATCAACAATTACAACCTCCCATTTGATATCTGACAAGATGGTACCATGGATTCTGTAAGTATCGAAACTGGTAATGAGTACCTCGACTGCACGAGATGGAAGTTTGTCGAGGATCGAGTCACGGTTCGAGCCATGGTACATAGCAACATTAAATGTCGCCCACTTAGAGAATTCCGTCTCCCAGTTTTGGATAACAGAACTAGGGCAGATGATTAGAACAGGGCCCTTAGGGTCCGAGCAAGTTTGCTTTGAAACGGAGGATTCACCAGGTTCTCCGTCCTTTTCAAAGACAGCTGCCAGGAATGCAATTGTCTGAATTGTTTTGCCAAGTCCCCTGAACCCAAAATTTTGACAGAAATGCAGTCTACATCAGAAACACAGGAGCTGTACGATCCCACCCCTAACATGCCCACAGAATGGGTGGCTCTATAAAGTTGACTCATAGGGTTCCAGTTTCCTATGCAGACGACTCTAACAATGAATGACAGAGGAGAAAGAGAAAGCAAAAGTGTTCAATTTATCCAGACAAATGTGATCAGCAATTAGTGTTGATTCCTCATAAACAGAAAATTCGACATTCACATTGGCAAGATCTAGTCACACTACTCAGCAAATAGTCTACCAAAGAAGTGACCTAATTCGTTGAAATCCTTCAACAGCAGAGCGAACCAACAAAGAGATTGATCTAGAAATCCTGGCCATATCTGCTGAAGGAAATAGTAAGGTGGCGATGGGACTACTTGTTCTGGGTAATAGTTGATATCTCAAAAAAAATGATGCCCTACTGACGACATTCATTGTACAGCTATGGCTACAGACAAGTACTCTCAAATTGCACCAAGATAAGAAGGAGATACTAACATGTCATCACCAAGAACACCTCCATGTTTGCACTTGTAGAGCTTGTAGAGAAACTTCACACCCTCCCTTTGATGTTCCAGCAGCCTACAGTTGATAGATGCAGGAACCTGCAATTATATAGAGAAAAATAATGTTTGCAATCAGTGATTCTGCAGAATGATAAAACTGATCTCTTAGTTTCTTACATAGAAACTCCTCCCAACTGAAAAGCTATAGATTTTCTCTCTAACCTCAATTTCATGCTCAAAGAAGACACCTTTGACTTGGCAAACATGCAGATGAAATCATTTACCTGCACAACAGGGGACTCTGCAGGTGAAGACAGGACCAAAGGCTCAAAGGGCCCTGTATGATCAAACTGAAATCGACCCGATTCACGCCTCCCGAAATCTGCGAACTTTGTCTCGTCTCCATCCTCTTTCTCCTCTTCTTCCTCTTCTCCTCCAGGTTCTTGAGAATTACGAACTTGGGTTTGACTTTTAAGGGTTTCCGTGATCTGGGTCTGCTGGGTCACCGAATGTCGTAATTCGGCACCAGAAACTAAGTCACCTACTCCAAGCCTCTTAAGCTGCTGCGCTATGGTGGACTTCGGCGGCCTCCTTGGAAGCAGAGTCGGTTCAGGTCGTTCGGACGGTAATGACGACGCCGTGAAAGAAGAAGAAGATGAGGAGGAGGCTGAGCAGGGGTTTAGGGTTTCTTTAAAGTGTTTCATGGAAGTGAGCCTCATTGAATCAGGCTAGGGAATGAATGAATTCGTCGCCAACTCCTGGGAATTTGGATTCCAATTCCCAATTCGTGCCTTTCCTTCTGTACTGATAAAAAGTTCCAATTTCGAAAATTCAACGGTGGGCTGACGGGATCTTCTTGCCGACCGGCGCCCTAACGCCACAGTAAACGGTCGTTTTTTGGGGAAACGGCGCCGTTGAGTCTATCCACTCGCTTTTTCTTCACAGCCTCAAAATTTCTGCCCCTGTTATATCGTCCCCTGAAAATGTAGCTCTTCCTGCCAGGCCAGCCAGACTTTCGAATTTAGCTCAAGAAATAGCTTCACCGAAAGCAAGCAAAATGAGAATCATGATAATTGCCACTCCGCCAGCAGCACTCCAAGGGCTCGCCTTCGGCTTTCCAGTGAGTTCTCCAGTAAGCAGAAAGTGGAAGGAGGAGGAGAAATCAAGGATTGACGTCAAGGTTTCCGCAGCAAAACCCGGAGGATTCTCTCTCAACTCAGTAATATTCCTTCTACTCTCTCGACCCATTTTTATGTTGCTGGTGTTTCTATTCTGAATCATGTATATAAAATGCTCTTCTGGGTCTGGTAGATTCTGAGCAAGTGCGGAACTTGTGAAGGCAAGCGTGCCATTGAGTGTCCAGGATGCAAGGTATTTGTGCTTTCAGTCTCCCGCAGTTCAAATTTTGGATGAATGAAGTTTTGAACTTTTTTATTATTATTGTGATTATGGTTTCCAGGGAACGGGGAAGAACAAAAAGAACGGCAACATCTTTGAGCGTTGGAAGTTAAGCGTGTGTTTTACACAGAATACTGGGTTGCTATCTCTGTACTCAGTAATGGAGGAGAAAAGCTTGATAATTGACAACTCTGTGGAATGGTTTTTTTTCCAGGTGTTTTGAATGTCAAGGGTTTGGACTCAAGGGTTGCCCCAGCTGTGGAGATGGAGGGCTGACACCGGAGCAAAGGGGAGAAAGATGAGAAGACAGACACAAAAAATGCAGTGGAAGTGGCTGGTTCATGAAAGCTATACCATTGTGTGTTCTTATTGATCTTATTACTTGTAAATGGATCCTTCCAACTCTTCATTCCAATAAATGTGCAAGCAATGGATCGATATTGGGGCCTAGAAAGTCTTCTAATTCCCGTTTTCCCCTACTGTCTGTTACTTGTCAAGTTGACTCTGCTAACATCTTCCTTGTCAAATTCTGACTTGGTATTATAATGTCCTAATAATAAACTTTCCTGTGTCTGTAAACTAATGGAGTGGGAAGAGCAAGAATAGCAGAGTTTGCTTGGCCGTCAAATCTGAATACTGCAAAGGTTGACCAATGAAAGTCAACTGCTTCCCTATTGCTTTCACATTGGGATCTATGCTACTCTTTCTTCTTTCCGTTCTACTTCTTCAACTCAAAACAAGAGCAAGTATCTGCTCCATTTTCCGCCCAAACCAACCTCTTCCACACCCCATCCTCTACTGCTCAGCTCTGCCTAATCAAGTAAGCAAATCTGGAATATCAAACACTCCCTGTTCTGCTCTTTCTATGTAATCTCAAATCTGCTTTTAGCTGCTTGTTTGTGTAAACTTGTTCTTGTTTTGCTGTTGTTGGTAATGAAGCATGCTCTTTTTTGGCCTTCTGTCTTGTTGGAGATGATGGATTGATTTTCCCATTTGCTGGCTGATAACCCAATTCTATTCTCGTCCCAGGTTTATTATGCAACAACAAGAAAGTAGAGCTTGCCACTATTTCCCATCACATGGAAAGTGAAACAGCTGATTGTGTAACAACTCGAATCGGTGAAAAGCTTCGTGGATCATCTCCCATCTCCTCTGAGTTCAGCATCTTCAGGGTTCCTCAACAGCTACGCAATGTGAATGAGAGGGCTTATGAACCCCAGGTAGTTGCAATAGGTCCTTATCATCATGGTAAGCAGCACTTGCAGCAGATGGAGGTGCACAAATTACACTATCTCCGCCAGCTTCTTCGCAGGAGGATCGAGGATTATAGTCAAGTGAATAGATACGTTTTAGCCATGAGGAAACTGGAGGAAAGCGCTCGCAGATGTTATGCAGATTCCTTTGCCTTCACCTCGGATGACTTTGTCGAAATGATGCTGCTGGACGGATGCTTCCTCGTCGAGGTAATCCGAAAGTATGCAATGACAGCATTGATTGACAACCACGACCCAATCTTCGTCCTACCAATGAACTTGTACAGCATAATGCGAGATGTTCTCCTCCTGGAGAACCAACTCCCTTTCTTTGTTCTCTCGGAACTGTTCCAGTTGACAAAGACGGTTCACGAGTTGGGGAACTTCCTGGCCATGGTAAATCATTTCCTCTATGGAAAATCACCAGGGCTTGGCTTTGTCCACGCTGATAATAATAACAACAGTGTAGGATGTTGTTCCTATGCGCAAGATATCAAGCACTTGTTAGGCTTTGCACATGACTATTGGATACCTCCATACGCAAGAACAGCAGTAGGGAAACCTATAGCCAGATACAACCTCAAGTTCATCCGTTGTGCCACAGAGCTTAGAGAAGCTGGAGTCAAGTTCAGAAGAGCTGAGGAAGGAGAAGGCCAACAACATACCTTGTTCGATGTAGGATTCAAAGACGGGACTTTTGTGATCCCAATGTTGACAGTTGAAGATGAGACCGAGTCGTTCTTCCGAAATCTGATAGCATACGAGCAACTGCCATTGAAGAACAACCCAAGCTACGTCACAGATTATATGGTTCTGATGGATTGCTTGATTAACTCGAGGAAAGACGTGGAGTTGCTGCGTCAGTATGAGATCATCGACAATCGATTAGGGGATGATGAAGTGGTTGCCAATCTGTTCAACAGGCTTGGGGACTATGTTGGCGTCTCCCATTCTTACTTCTCCTACTGTGATGTGTTTGAAGAAGTGAACCTTCATTGTGCAAAGAAACGGTACAAATGGCTGGCAAAGCTGAGGCATGATTACTTCAACAGTCCCTGGGCTCTTATATCTTTTCTTGCTGCTGTTCTTCTCATCTTGCTTTCCTTCCTTCAGACATTGTATTCTGGTTTGTCATATGAAAAATGAAACAAGGTTTTTTTTCTTCTTCTTTTTTCCAGATCGTTTTAATTTAATGACATTTGCTCAGTCAAAAACCTTCTTCAACAGTATTGGTGGGAAATAACAGTGGGAAGTTTTGGATCAACCCCACCCTATGAGGCCAGATTGCCAGAACGATTCTGATTAATTTCTCATTTAGAACTCCTTAAACAAATAAGAGAATCAAAAACTCTGTAATGAATCTAAGATATTTCCCAGTCTAGGGGACCAATAGGGAAAATTGGGATCCCCCCGCCCCAAACTACACATTCTTAAAAAACAAATCCAAAAATACACATTTTATGAAATATTCTCAATCTACACATAATTGGACTTCATTGTGACCGTCAGAAGCGGTGAACATTTTCACCGCGACTGTCAGAAGCGGTGAGTGATTCACCGCGGCCGTAAAAAACGTTGAATGCTTCCCCGCGATCGTCGGAATCGGCGAACGCGTAACTTAGGCTAAATTTTTTGAAAGAACGTAATTTTGCTCTCGATTATCCGATCATAACATATTTTTTTATTCCGCATAATTTTTTTTTGAGATTTTGCAAGCCGCAAAGAGCCATAGGCTATTTGGTATCGCCTTCGTCCCGAAAAAACGTTGTTTGCTATCCCAAATGGGCAATTTTTGGATTTTGTCAAACTTTGGACAACCATATTAACCTCCAGCTAGGAAACATTGCGGCGTGTCGACCCGCGATGTGTCGCCCATTTTTTCACCAGGTCCGGGTCAATTACAAGTCAATCCAGGGGTCAACCCAAGGGCCGATTCACGGGTTGACAACCTTAATATTATCATGGGATGGGGTTTCTCCGAACACAACAAATAGGGTAATGGATTTAGTGCGATATTGGTATTTAAAGTATCCGCATATAACCCACCTGAATGTGTGTTATAGTTGTGTTCTAAACTCATTAATTTTAACAATTTGTTCATCCAGATCCCTAAAACATAATAAGTCTTAGACCTAAAAATCTTCATTTTACATAGGCATTCGAAGAATATTCATTGTCAAATAAAAAACTCTATACATGATTGTTGGGATGGTGTGTGTAGGATTTTCTCAAACAGCATATTTATTGGTTGTGATATGACATACATTCACACACAATCTTTCTTTACAAATATTAAAGCACTTTTAGATTTACACCACTGCCACGTACCCCTTCATGCAATTAGAAGATGTCCACGTCAGCTTCTTCATATGTTCCGCCCTCTATCATGATTCCGGTGAACAACTCTGCCCCTAAAAAAACCTCCACACTTTTTCTCCTTCATCCTTCCCTGTAACTGTTATCCACCCGCCGCCTGCTCCAATCCAACCTCTCTGCCGCCTCCAGATTCCGCCACCAATCAGCCTCTTGCACCACTCCGAAGTCGAGCCCTTGAAAATCACCCATTCACACCAATTTTGCTCTTAATTCTTCTGCGGAGTATGATGAAACCACGTAAAAAAAAAAAGCATTAACCTTTTTGTAGTGGTCAATTGCTTTTGTTTCTTCTCCGTAACCAACAATATGATAGGATTGTCATGTGTGAATTGTAACTAAGTTAGAATGGAAGTTTGAATTTGTTGCTGCAAGATCCAGATGTGAAAGCTCTACTTTGCTTTCCATGGTAGTTAATTTGGCATTTGTGGGTATAATTTTGGATTTTAAATAAATTGTTCCTTTCACTTCTTGATTGAAACTTATTAAGTAAGGTTCATTATGAAGGCATTGAGTTGATTTTTATGTGAATCTTGCAATTGAGTTGATTACTGAATCTTGCTCATCTCGGTTTTTCTTTCTCCTTTTTTCCTATTTTGTGGCGAAGGAGCCGTTGCTTCCTGCCTGTTGATTTCCGAAGAGTTAGAATCGACCTTTCATATGCTGAAAACATATGTTCTTCTTCCCTACCTAAATCTTTATATCAGGCCATTTGTCAATCCATTCTCATGTACTTTCCATCATCTCTTTTGGTTATGATTTGAAACCAATAAAATACTAAAACCTGATGTAACAAATTCGAAGTTAATAGTAAAAATTGGTTGCGACAAATCCTTAACAGTGGGAAGAGTAGAGAATTGATAGGAGTAAGTAGTTCAAGCAGTGTCCAATGTTCTCTTGAACTCCAAGCAAGGCAAGCACGATGTAACAATTATCTCCGTCCCTATTTCTCTATATATGTATGGATTTGTTTGGAGTTCAAGAAAATGTACTATCGATAGAAATTAGTAGTTCACGATTGGATTTTACTGATGATGACTATGTAATTGTGTTACCACGTACTGACTGTTGAATCATGTGAAAGTTTTGAAAACTTCGTGGAAAAATTTCATCAATGTACTTTGAGGTAGAGTCATCCAATATAATGCTGCCATGTGAGCCAAGTGAACCCAGTTTACCAAGAAATGATCATCTTGGGTGTTGATTTATTGAATCTCTTTTACTAGGTTTCCACATTTGGTTTATTTGTTGTACAACTATTTGAGAACTTCAATGATATAGTCATAGTCGAACATACCATATTTCAACATGAGCAACATCACCACTGCTAACGAGGATCAGTAAAGGAATCAAGACTTGCATTCAACAACCGGACAACAATGTTATGTTAAAGCCAAGACTACAACAACACAAATTATAGGGGGAAAATCCCAAGTTACACATGCTTTTAAAAAAAATTCTCAAAATACACACGTTATGAAAATAATTCCCAATTTACGCATGTTTGGGCCATCACCGTTGTCGACGAAGACAGTGATTGCATCACCGCTGTCGACAAAGACAGTGATTGCATCACTGCAGTACACTGCCGCGGTGAAGGTCTGACCTGCGTCGAAACTTTAAACAAACGTAACTTTGTGCTCGGTTATCCGATCGTAGCGAAATTTTTTTGATTCCGCATAATTTTTAGAGATTTGCAAGCCGCAAATTGCCGTAGGCGGTTTGATCCCGCTTTTGTCTCGAAAATATGTCGTTTGCTACCCCGAACGAGCCTTTTTTCGATTTCGTCAAACTTTGAACGACCATAACTTTGTGCTCCACCATCCGAAAATCATGAATTTTTTTTTGATTTCGCATAAATTTTTAAGGACTACAACTTTTAGTAGGAGAGAATTTTCAAAAAATGAATTATTTATGGATATAAGGGATTTTGGGAATAACTTTACCTTCCTTTTCAGGAATCCAAGTACATTCCGAAAATATGTCTATGATAAAAATTGTAGTCCTTAAAAAGTTATGCGAAATAAAAAAAAATTTCATGATTTTCGGATTGTGGAGCACAAAGTTATGGTCGTTCAAAGTTTGACGAAATCGAAAAAAGGCTTGTTCGGGGTAGCAAACGACATATTTTTGAGACGAAAGCGGGATCAAACCGCCTACGGCAATTTGAGGCTTGCAAGATCTCGAAAAATTATGCGGAATCAAAAAAATTTCGCTACGATCGGATAACCGAGCACAAAGTTACATTTGTTTAAAGTTTCGACGCAGGTCAGGCCTTCACCGCGGCAGTGTACTGCAGTGATGCAATCACTGTCTTCACAGCGGTGATGCAATCACTGTCTTCGTCGACAACGGTGATGCAATCACTGTCTTCGTCGACAGCGGTGATGGCCCAAACATGCGTAGATTGGGAATTATTTTCATAACGTGTGTATTTTGAGAATTTTTTTTAAAAGCATGTGTAACTTGGAATTTTTCCCAAATTATAGCAACAACAACACTAGGTTCCAAGATGTGAAAAGTACTGCAGTCCTCATATGCATTTTGGAGTTGCAGCAACATGCTTAACTGTAACACCCAGATAATAATGCAACGTTAAGATCATGAACTTGGAAAGTTACATCCGAGCAGATAGATTGTTGAGAATACAATTTCTTACAAAAGATTACAAGATGGAAAATAAACATTATCTTGAACACTTCTTTTATGCATCTTGAACAACTTTCCCAATGTTGCCTTTTTACCATTTCATATTTGAGTAAAATATTTGGCACAACAAAGCACACAACACTAACAATCAGATAGTATGTGTCCATATGACATACAATCAAAAATTAGGTCACACTTGAACACCATAGAAGAAAAGAGCTTAATAACAACACAACCTTGACAAAAACCAACCCGGCCAAGGGCCGGGCACCAGGGGCGGACCTAGGCACAAGGGAGGTGTGTCATCTGACACACCTCCGCCCGAAAATTTTGTGAAAGACCCCTAATTCGTCGGTACTAAAATTTTGATCTCGGGATTTTCGACACACCTCTGATCATTGTATCCGACACAACTCCATTGTGTTTATGGAAATTTATTGTCATAAGTTATCAAAATATATAAATATAAGTTCAGACTAGCGTACGTCCGACCACCGTATGCCAATTGGGTTTTGCTATTTAGATAAATAATTAACCTGACTTTGGGGCATGATCCTATATCCTAACCTCTAATGGGTGAACCCCAATCCCTAATTTTCTAACCCAAACGGCAAAATTTGGTCAATCTTAAAATGAAACTCAACAATAATTTCGACGAATCAGAATCATTGATTTTCATTTTTCAAGATTAAATGAATCTTATGTTAGGTTAGTGAATTGGGGATTGCGGTTCACACATTGGGGGTTAGAGTATAATATCATTGTTTATAAATGATTGTTAAGTTGTGTATATTGAAAAACATTTGCTTTGCAGCATAAGTGATGAATGTATTTTAGAGACATTTCAGCAGATGAAAAGTCGTCGTGATTCGTTGTAAAATGACATTGTGAACTTCATAAATTAATTTCTTTTAATCTCTACTTAATTTTTTTATTTAATTATTATTCTATGTTAGCGGCGACACACCTCTCCAACAATCCTAGGTCCGCCACTGCCGGGCACAGAGCTAGTTTTAGTGATAAGGATATTTACATTTTTAATATCGTGGTTATGGATGATTTATGATTAGTGATAAATTAATTTCTAAATTAGCATATTATATATTTCTTTTATCTTATATATCACTTAACCGTTCTATTACTAGTATTATAACTGTTATTCACTCATACTTGATCGGGAAACACGTAAATTTCTTACCAAAAAAAAAAAAAAGACACACGTAAATGTAGTCCGTAGAAACATTAATTCAAGCTGCTACACCATTCCATTCAGGCCACGCCACGTACACAAATGTGGCTGCCTAAACTGATTGATTACTGATAAAACTGTAAATTAGTAGTGCCGTAATAACGTTGACGATCGCCGGCCGGCCGGCCAGTACTTTACTTAATAACTAATCTCATTATTATTATAATTAGTTACGGTATTACTAATTAGTCTATTTCCAAACTCGGTCTTGTAATCCTTCCAAAGCTCTTCAACGGTTTTCCCCGTCAAGTCGTGGAACAAGCCGTCCGCGTAGCCGTACTTCAACTTCCCGTTCAGCTCAGGCACGAACCTGTGGCGCAGCGCCTCGCAGTAAATCAAGAAGTTGGCCGTCACCTCGTGCCCTTGGTCCCACCTCTCCCCGTCCCCGAACCTCGTCGTCGTCGTCGTCTTGCTCCCGGCCGCCGGCGTCAGACCGGCGTACGCCCGCACGAAGCTGGCGATCCCTGTCAGCAACCCGGCGGGGGCCTGACCGTCGCCGTTCCACAGCCACACTAGCGTCATGCAGTGGTGAATCATGCCGGAGAATTCCTTCCTCACGTCGGCGCCCTCGTAGTCGCCTAGGTACCTATATTAATTGATGGGCCAACACCGACGACCAAAAACGAAGATTAATGGGTAAGGGAGTGGTATTTTCTCTTAAGAATAATAAGTTATGTGATCAATTTGTTAATGACATATCAGAATTGGTTTATCTTCGAAAATTCACGATCCACAATACTAACAGTTGATTAAAGCATAGGGTATGGTGGTTCTCTGCAAACTTTAAACACGTACGTGAGTCGACTTTCGTTTAGGAGGCGTGTAAGAGAGTGATATAGGAAACATAATAAGCTTCTCACAACAACTCGAATTATTGTGACCTACCAGTTAATAACATAATTAGGTTGATCGAAACTAGAAAGGGTCAAATGTAAAACAAAACCATATTTGGATATCGCCTAAACTCATCTCAAAATGGATTGAATCATGTTTGGATAATTTTGTTTTCTAGGCATGTACATACCCAACATTTTAGGTTTGGGTCTAAATTGGTCTATAGTGTCGAGTATAAAAAAAAAAGAAAATGGATACATGATTTTAATGCAATTTTCCTTACTTTTATTATGAACCAAACAAAAACTTGAAATACCAATAATAAATGTGTAATTGGGTCGAACACGGTTAATAAGATGACTGATATTCATCTGGATTCAAATAAATTCGTTTGAATCGGACCCAAATGAGTTAATCCCAATTGGATCCAACTCGTATCCAACCTAACTTCTAAACCATTAAAAGTACACATAAGTCCATTTGAGATAGACCCAATGTTTCCTACGGTGCGTTACCTCCCACTAACGTGGATATTGTTGCTGCCGTTGCTGTAATAGGCGCAGCCCTCGTTACCAGCGTGAACAATATCGTCTTCCTCGATGATTAGGCTGATTTGGGTGACGGGCTTGGGATCGTAGAAGCCCAGCACGCTCACAACGACATCCGCGGCTTCGGACATCGCAAACGAGCTGTACTCGTCGCCGCCGATTTCGTTGGCGTAACGGGAGCCCCCCGGCGTGGTGATCGGAGCCTTGTTCACCACCGAGAAGTTGTAGGCCGCGTCGCCGGCCGGAATGTTTATCAGTGATAATGATAGGGCCGCCAGCAACCAGTTTTGATGTTGTCGAATCGGCATGATGACGGACGGACGGACGTCGGGGGATTGGAGAAAATGTATTTTTGGGTGATGACTGATGACTGATGAGGGTGAATTAATGATGAACTGCATGCTTTTTTTTTTTATAGTTAGAGAGCGCAAGTGGGAATGGGTGAGGAAGACGGCGACTTGTAACCAATTAGAGAGGTGTTAATTTTGTATATTTGATATTATGAAGAGATCGAAGTCGATGATCACTATTGTTGTCTCTCTTGACATACGTAGGTGAAAGGACAAAATCATTGTTGTCAAGTGTTTCAAAAGACTCTGCTTCAGATTTTGGACAAGTACATTCATCATTCATTGTCATCATGCTTCTCTTGGGATCCATATCATCTAAATTATGAAATGGGTGAAAATTTCTTCAAACAAAGTTTAAATAAAGAGATCTCAAAAGATCTGAAAAAGTTAGGCAGTATAAAAAAAGTTGTTACGTTCGGATATTCGAGTGTAAAGTTGCAGCTTTGTGAAGTTTCGACACGTGTCGTTATGTGTAGATCGTTGGGTTATGTAACGGTTTTTGAGGGCATGATAGCTAGAATTATCAGCGATCTGGGTGGATCGCTCCAGTAGATTATCACGATCTAGGCTGGGTTCGTTTTGGTTGGCCGGGATCTTGTGTAGATCGCTCATGAGTCAAGGGAACTACTATCTAACTCGCTTGACACAACGACGAATTACATTAAATCCTTGTAATTTAGAAATTTTAGTGTAAATATGATATTGCAAGATTTTTTTAGTGTAAGTAGTATATATTTTGGGGAAATAATTCACCAAATTGAAGCTTCTTACTCGGTTTTTATTAGTTTAAAAAATATTATTCTCACGTTTTATATAAAAAACAATATAAAACATGAAAATAAATTTGTAAAAAAAGATATAAATTAAGCCTGGATCACCCACTTCCAATGTCTCCGCAACTGACAAATTTGCATCGGTTTGGTCGATCGGAACGATTCCAGCACGCAACTAATCAAACATAGATGGCTACAAAAGCTGAGATTCTGATAAGCAATAATTACGTATCCACTTCTACAACTACGATTACTTTAGCTACCTTTCCACCCATTTTGAATGTTAATTAATTTGTCATTTTAGATATAGCTATTTTGTAGCATATCGATATGTTTCAACCTCAAATTGACGGAATAAGGAACTTGAGTTTCAAATATAGCGTTGAGAGGGGACTACTTTTGACTTATGTTAGAAAGGGCTCCCAAGTCAACTCATCCGAACTTTATTATAATTCGCGCTTGGTTTACTAATAAATAAATCGAGTTCGAGATCATCTTACTTATTAATAAGTCGGGTCGATTTGAGCTCGAGTTAGATTCATTTACAAAAATCTTGATTTGTGTTTAATACATTCATTTTTTTTATCTCATTATACAGGTGATTGATATAATGATGATAAAAAGAATAATAGTCAATTTTCATCATTATCTAATCCATGTTATACTTTGTTGGTATCATATTATTTAGTTGGTAACGACTGGTATATTTTTTTTATAAAATTAAACTTCGAGTTTGGGTTTAGAGAATCCTGGCCAAGGGTTATCAATTAGAGGTTAGAGTATAGTATCATACCCCAAACTCGATTTAATTCATGGTCTAGATGAAGATATGTCACTCGGACTAGTACATGTGGTATAGTATAGTACTTCTGGAGCATAGTAACAAAGCAAATCTATGAGACATAATTTCTTATTAAAAATTAAAAATAAGACATACTTGTTCACATACTCATTGTCTTAAAAATCATATATATGGGGATACATATAATTTCAAAATCTTATGATATAGATCAGTTCGCTCATATATAAGTCGGTAGTCGATTTGGCTCTCTAGCCATAATGTTGAAACTCTCATGAACTTTAAACGAGCCAGCTCATGAGTTGAGTTCAAAAGACACCTAATCAAGCTAGCTCGTGAACTTTATGAGCAGAACAAGACTTAACTCAAACTCAAATTATTAGTAAATGAGATAAGTTTCAAACGAGTTCACGAGAGTTTGTGATTTTCCTTTGCCGCTTATTTCGACAGGAAGAGGTATATATAGGGTTGTGCAATGGTCTGGTCCTTACCGGAATACACCGGACCAAACCGACATTAAGACCGGACCAGATCGAACCAAGTATAATGCGATCCGGTTCTTGGTACTCATGAATTTTATAATTACCGAAGAAATGATGGACCGAACAGATATTTGGACTTGACCGAACTGGACCAAATGTACCGAATGCAAATATGGTTCGGTCCTTGGTCTTAGGATATCCTTCACTAATGTACTGCGCTTCTCGTGAGTTTGGTCCGATTCAGGCTGTACAGAATAGAACCATTGCACACCAAAAAATGAGTGCGTTCAATGCACCCAACTCAAAAACTAGTCTTAAGGTGTCGAATTTTGAATTTTAAGATGTAGAATTAGTGTAATATGATGATATAACATATGATAACAACTAATTAGTGGATAACCCTAAGCCCTAGACCTCCAATTTTGAGTTCTATCCGTAAACCCCAAATTATAAACCCTAATCCTAAATCTCTAAACTCTAATCCTTCAAATTAAAGTAAATCTTTAATGTTTTTTTTGTGCAAATTCATGTGCGTTATTGTTCATCACATCATAAGTGATGATTGACATCATTTTGACATAAATCGCATGTCTAAAATGACGGTCATGAAGCGAGTGCACTGAATACACCCAAAAAAGTGAGTGTACCGAATACGTCACCATATATATATAGTGCCGATTGTTTGAATTTTCGATCCGTATGATCGAGTACTATTTATGAATTTGATGTACAACACACCGCACCTATTCCTCACCACAACCTCTTCATTCCTCACTCTCTAAATTTTCTCTCTTCTTTCTTTTTCTTTTTTTTTTGGGATGCATAACATATAAAAGTCGAGGCTCTTAGCTTTTATTATAGCCAAATGAAAACCCAAGTGGAAGTCCAATTTATTGCTCTCCATTATTCGGTCATGGTTGCTACGCAATTCCTCAACTCCAAATCCAAAATTTGTGTGCTTTCCATCATCATTCAAGGTTATGTAGATTATTTTCATAAATATCTTCAAAGGGGAACAAACCAATACAAAGTATGAATCAATACAATATGTTATGCATTTTTCAAAATTTTTTACTTCACCATTTCAAAATTTCTCAATTCTCATATGTTCACATTATCCTTGATTTTCCACATCACTTTTATTATTTTAAATTTTAACTGAACGTTGATTAAAAATAAATAATATATAAATAATCATTACTAGGATACGTACACACAATCTAAAAGTATCGTATTCTTACAATGTAAAGTTTCTAACTAGTGGTACGTGGGGTTGAGTTTCCTGGGTATAAAAAAAACAAATTTCTAACAAGTAAGATAAATTTTATTTGATGATATTAATTACAAAAAATTATAAGATAAACTTCATAATTATGTTAATTAATATAAAAAGATTGAAATTATCATATGTCATCCAATGTGTCTTATATGTTACCTGTGATTTGTGATATTCTTACTTTATCAATAGAATACGTATATGATTATAAATTCATTATGATTTCAAATGATTAATAATAATTATAAAGATACAAAGCTAGTATATACAAATTTTTTTGCAAACCAAAGCAAAAATCAAAAGAAGAAGAGGAGCATTTTATGGAAGATGAATAATATCAAGTACTTGAGGCCTCAACGAATGCTTGAACTTTTATTTTGTTTTAATATTATTTATTTAAAAACTAGTAGTAACTGAACTTCTTTCAATAATTATAGTTATTGGAATGAAATGGTTCATGACATGCAAAAAAAATTATATAAGATCCATAATGGAACTTGCACTCAAGACCTATCCGGCTATCCATATATACATAACTTATGTTCCCTTTATAACATCATGATACATAACCACCGACTTTTTATTATATAATTATGGTAGATTCTTTTTACCATAATGAATTCCAAAATATATATATAAGGTGGTTGTTATATTATAAATTATATCTAATTGTTTCCTATAAAAAGTTTAAACTTTTTTCAAATTAAATAAATTATTATAATATCAGTCTAACATTACTGACGAAATGGTCATCAACTTCATGGTTATGCACCTTTATTTGTTCTACATATAGCTTAGAAAATGCATCAAACAAATTTGAAAGTTGAACCGAGAATTCCCCAACCTCAATTGCATGCTCAACTAGCAACCCTTGAAATTAAACTTGTCACGAAAATGGAAGTGGTATGATCACCTTCACCAACTTCTTAAATAAAAGATGTACCAACTTCTCAAGAACAAAGGGGCAACACTTCATACGACATTCACCGCTAAACCCATAACAAGATTACTAGTGTTTAGATATAAAAACTAAAAGTTTCCCAACCTAACACTATTAACCAACTCTTAGGGGTGTGCAACGGTTCGGTTCGGTCCGGATCAGACCAAATATTTTAGAATCGCGGTCAGTTAGTGAAAGACATCTTAGCACCAAGAACCGAACCATCATTGCATTCAGTTCATTTGGTTCGGTTCTGTCTGGTCCGGTCAAAATATCAGTCCGGTCCTCATTTCTTCAGATTTGTAAAATTCATGTGAACCAAGTACCAGACCGCATTATACTCGATCCGATTCATTCCGATCCAAATTTCGATTTGATCCTGTACGATACGACGGTCCAGTCCGAAACCGGACCATTCCACACCCCTACCAACCCTCCCCTTTAAAAATGACACTATATGCCTACCCTTGGGTCTACCAACTTCTCTTCAATATTCACTTGTCTCTTTCAAACTATCCTTACAATCTTACCACACAAGAAACTAGAAAAAACACAACCATGCAATACTTCAAAAATTCAATATCCATCTTCATCGTCATTATTCTTCACTCCACCATTAATGTAGAGGCTGCCCGTACTTCACCGTCTTCCACTAAACCATTCGTATCTTACTACTCCTCCTCGCCATTAATTAGTAAGCTCAACAAGACGGCCTTAAAACCACCACCATCAACAATCAACCCTTCCATTCGCTCTCTATGTTTAGCCACCAAAAACACCAAGAAATGCATGGAGCTCATCCTTCCTTTCGCCACGGCCGGCGGCGCTACGGATCCCGTTTCCATTCTAAACGTGGAGATCCAGTCGCTGTACGACATGACGGGGCAAGCCATCTCGACCGCCATGAGGCTGAGCAAGGAAGATCGAGCCGTGACATCTTTGGAGGACAGAGGGGTCCTCAAATCCTGTGTCAAAACTTATGGTGTTGCTGCCAAGGAGCTGGTGAAGGCCGGGCTTGCATTGTCCACTCGTGATTCCAAGACCGTGATCTTGATGCTGCGTGCAACCGTATCGAGCTTCAGACGGTGCGACAAAGCTTTCGAGATGCCGGGGAGGTTGAACAAAGGGGTCATGATGAAGGAGATTGATCAAGTGTTGCTTGATATGGCGAAGCTTTGCTTGGAGATCTCTATGCTGATTCAGAGAGGGACGTTGTAGATGAGGTGTGTTAATTAAAAGGATGTCTACCCCAAGAGAGTTTAATATTTTGGTGTTGTTACTGTTGTTAGCTGTAGAGTATTTTGTGCTAAAACTATGGTTTAATCGTGGTTCAACTGTTTTATATTGTTAAAAGTTGGTTGTTGTTTAATATTTCAATATGAGACTTTTCCGATCAAAATGTCGGTACGGTATGATTTCATAAACAATAAGTTTTTGTCCGTGCCGATTTTCATTTCTTTAACCGTAAATAGGGCTCGAAATGAGCTAATTTATTGCTTACGAGCGGCTCGGCGTTCGGCTCTGGAAAAAATTCGTTTGTCACTCGATTCGTTTACTGTTGAGTGAAATAAAGATAAGCCTTTATTCGGCTCACAAGGCTCGTGATCTAGCTCGTTCCGGCGGCTTTTTGAGCTCAACTCGTTAGCAAGCTCATTTTGAGCTATGAGCTGCGCAGAGTAGTCAAAATCCCGGTTTAAATCCTAAAATCCTAAGCTTTTACGATTTGACTTACCTATTCCGATTCTGATTTCACTATAAAATCTATTGACCTTAAAATCCTACACTATTCACGATTTACATCCTTACAATCTTACGAATTTACGATTCAAATATTTGAGTCAATTTTACTTATTTTCCCCAAAATTTGCAAAATTACGCCTCTTTTTCTTCTTCTCCACCAACATCATCTATTTCTCTCACCGCCTCACACCAACCACCATCGACTATAATCAATTCACATCAACGTATTAATCATCATCGATTCACCACCTCTTAACATTAAACATTAACCTTTAAAAATTATCATTGTAAGTGTTATGTGCTTTTGTGTTATTCATGATTTTTCTTAGTAATATTATTTTGTCTTGATTTTTATATGGACCTTAAAATCCTACGATTTTACGATTCTGATTTTACCCCTATATTCGATTTTACGTAAAATCCCGATTTTGACTGCTTGTATGAGCCGACTCTATAGAATGGCTAGCGAGCCAACTCAACTAGAAAGTGATGAGAAAATTGGTCAATAGAGTCGAGCTCGAATCAAACTCGATTCAAATACAAATCAATATTTTAGTAAACAAGTCGAACTCAAACTCTACTCGTTTATTATATCAAAATTAGCCAATTAGCTCAAATTAGATAAAAACTAGCCCGAGTTGAATCATTTGCAGCACTAAATGTAAATTCTCTAGTTTGTATGTGAATAAAATCAAACAAAGAGTAATATGATCATTACTTTTCATTTAATTAAAATTAATATGAATAAGCTATCTCTATTAATTAAAAGAGAAAGCATGAACAATGTATCTCGTACCACTTCATCAGGAGTATCACATACTCCAGATTCACTAGAGTATATTTAAAACTAATTTGGTGTCCAACCCATTGACCGTAATGTTATTTGAATACAATATATTTATATATGATGTGTATTTATGTATGAATTTTGTATCGTAATCCAAATCATATTGAATTGTTATTTTAATATGGCCGAATAAAACCGTTAGATTAACCTAAAGTTCAAAATTAGATTGAAGTAAATTGTAACCAACGATTACTACCATATATATTATGGAAGCGAAAATGATATTGGAATCTTCAAAGATTGAAAATAATGATAACTTACTTTTTCATTCATGTGTAGCTTGGTTTGATAATTGAATTTATATAGAAAACACACCATCCTTTTGTTGTTTGACAAGTGAAAATAGAGAAGATAGGGCGTGGAGACGAATTCTGAAGCTAGCTTCGACCAACTATGCAGCCGTTTATGAGTAACCAGGGTGATGAAGGCTTTTGGAATGGGAAATTGATGCCCAGATACTCAGCGAGCGCAGTCTGGGATACAATACGTCCTATGAAGAGCAAACAAAACTGGTATGCTCTTCTCTAGAGTAAATTCTATGTGCCGCGTTGGAGTATCATAGCATGGATTGTGACCATGGATGCGATAGTAACCAAAATAATGTTGATGCGGCGGGATAAATTAAACGAAGATAGATGCATTTTATACCATACCAAAAGTGAGACCTAGAGAACCAAATAAGAGAACAACAAACCAACCAACCAGAACAATCACTACATCCAAACATCACAAAAGAATTAATGGAAACCCGAAAACAAAGGGAAAAAAGAAGAGAGACTCCTCCTAAAATTCCACAACCCTAATTAATAAACCCAAAACAGAAGAGAGACTCTTTCCCCCAAACGAACAAACCCAAAAAGAAGAAGGAAAAAAAACTCCATCATCATCATGGATTTCTTCCTCACCGCCCTCTCCTTCACCATCCTTCTCCCCAACAACATCCCCACATCCACCGCCATCCGTAACGCCCCATCTCCCTCACCAGCCGACGCACCCCTCACACTCCACATCGTCTCCCACGACAACACAAACCCAGCAGCCCCGTCGGCCGATCCCAACGACGACGAGGACAAGAAAAAGCCGAGCAAGAAAGGCGTGCTCGGAACCGCCATCAACCCGGCCCTCCGCGACATCTGCGAAGCCACCAAGATCCCCAACAAGTGCATGGACTACCTCGCCCCCATCGCCACGAGGGCCGGCGGGACGTACCAGGACCCCGTCTCCATCCTCAACCTGGAGGTCGAGCTCCTCTACAAGAAGGTCGAGAAGGCGACGGACGACGCCAAGGACATGATGGCGAAGAAGAAAGACGTTGTCTCCACGTCACCGGAGGTGGCGAAGGGGCTGAACGCTTGCGTCGGGCTGTACAACAAGGCGACCGATGACCTGGCAAGGGCCTTGCTGGAGTGCTCGGAGAATAAGAATGGCGCCACGGTGGAGCAGATGTTGAGCTCCGCCTTGCAGTCCATCCGCAGCTGCGACGCCGTTTTCGGCGGGAAGAGTGGGGAGAAGGACGCCCCGATGGCGGAAGTTAATGAGAAGATGATTGACATGGCGGAATTGGGGATGGAGATTTCTGGCAAGTGGCTCACCAAAGGGAAGGCCCAAACTAAAATCATTAGTTAAAACAACAATGCAGATATTTATTTATCTATTAGTAGGAAAATGTGTGTAAGGAAGATCAATTAACTAATTACATCTTGGATTAATTAATTGTGGTTTGAGATTTAATTTTCAAGATGTGTGTATAAAATTCTCAATGTAGCACGTTGTAGCCTTATAATACCACTGGGAAACCCGAACTATTAAGAAAGTGTCATTTGTGTCCCAAACTATTCAATATTTTATCTATGTTCCAACGTATGATAGTTGTTTGTCATTTATGTACTGACAATTTTGTTAACCATTTTAAATGAAAATATTAATAAAAATTAATATTTAAAATTCCGATTAGATGCCACGTTGACACTGACTGAAATTTCTATTAAATATTGAGGGTCAAACTCGGTTAACACTAAACAAAATAGTTCAGGACATAAACGTTAAGTTGAATATTTCGGTACACAGTTGACTTGGCTTTATTATTCGGGTTTCCCGTATTATTAGCCCTTTACAATTTGTAACCCTGTAATAATTAAGTGATTCAAATTATTAATTTCTTGTCAAATTTTCTTCATTTTTTATGGATTAAGATACCGTATTGGACCAGCCTCGGACCAAAAAACTGGAAACCGGACTAGAATCGAATCGAATCGATCTGTGGAATATATAGAAATTGTCGTGTCCGTCGATATTTGCGGTTGAACTAACTTCCCGTGAAATACCGGCCGGTTCTGATCCCACCGCCGGTTTTTTTTTTTTTTTTTTGTCGATGTTGAGGAAAAATGGAAAACGATTAGCTCCAGCGCAGGCTTCGAGGAAGGGATTAATGAGAATTGATGGTGATTGGTTGGAATGAAATGAAAAGGATTATTTTGATTTGGAATCAGTTGGATGCGTTGGAGCCCGGAGGAAGAGATTAATTGAGACCAAATAAATGGAAAAGGAAAGCATATTTTACTTGGACCGAATTAGGGGTCGAGGTCAATAATCTTAGGGTAATTAATTTTTAAGTCGGAATTTAAATTTTTACAAATTCATAAATAAGATTAGTATTAAATAAGAGCATACCATATGGTATGAAAGAGTACAGTGATGGTATAAACTATGAACTTACCAAGACTGTAAGATGGTTGAATACTTGATAATAAGAGTATACTAACTGTCATTTACGGCTTTCATCATTATGTACCACAAGTTACCACCCCCATGTCGGGGTGGTATAGTATGGTATTTTTTGGTCGAATTTTTTCTCCAGTAAAACCAATTAAGTTCTTATTTCTGTTTTCTTACTAGGGTTTGCCCTTTGCTTGGCTGCTCGCTGTGTTCTAGCTCAACCAATTCTTCCCACCACTGGAGTTTTTGTTCTCCTGATCAACTGTTCGTTTGGCTCTTGTGATCGCTAGATATATCTCTTTGCTTTCGTATTATTCTTGTTGTCGGTGGAATCTGTTTGATGCCACACTTGTAAGCAGTGATGAAAGAAATGAGGACTTGATTAGTTCATTTTGTGATGATATTTATTGGAAAACTACAAAGTGGTTTGCATTGTAAAGATTCATGATGGTTTTATGACATTTATGATTTGCATTGCAATGTCTAGGATTTTTAGTAGGAATAAATTGCGAAGGGTAATGATTATGGCTTTTATGGCGTGCAATGGAAGTTTTGTGGTGTGCTTAAGAAGTTTTGTGGTTTGTTTTTCACGTGTTTTCATTGATTTTTTTATTATTTTTTTGGTTTGTTTTGGGAGGAATGTGGTGTGTTTTCCGATGGTTATGGTATTGTTGGGGGATTTGTGATTTGCTTTGAGGGGTAGTTTGATTTGTACTGTATATGAAATGGTTTATGGCATGTATAAGCATGTTTAATTTGTGGTGTTCATTGTAAAAAATCAGGAAGACTTGATTGGAGCATACCTTCATCTCGTTCATTATCGTCATTGTTGGTGGAAATAGAGGTTTATAAACTACTGTCCGCGTTCTATTGCATCGTCAAAAGATGTTAAAATTTATAGGAGTTGTTAAGCATCTACTAAACCAACATAAAATTCATTACAGGATTTTCATCCATCTTCAGTGACGGGTCCGGATAGTATAACAACACTCTTTTTGTTGTTATAATAACAATAGGATTCATTAAGGGTAAAAGGGTAAATCAACAATAAAATAATAAATAAAAAATTTCCCGTTTGCTCTCTGATAGGTCCCGTCTCCTTCACACTCGCCGCCGCCCAGAAAGAGCCAGCCGGGCGTCCTCTTCGTCTGCAACCACCGCACCGTCCTCTACCCGATCGTCACCGCCGTCGCGCTCGGCCGGAAGATCAGCTGCGTCACCTACAGCATCAGCAAGTTCACGGAGATCATATCGCCCATCAAGGTCGTGGCGCTGTCGAGGGAGCGTGATAGGGACGCGGCGGACATCATGCGGCGGACATAGATTGCGGTGGCAAACCACAAGGTAGCGCTGCCAACGAACATTAGTGCCGGACGGAGATGGAACGGTGGTCGTCTGAGTCTCAATAAGGGCGTTTTGGAGGCGGCAGTGATAGTGATGGTGGCAATCAGCGACAATTAACCGGTAGATGGAAGAAGTAGCGTTTGTCGATGAATTGGAAGAGTGAGTAACATCAGCTGCTGACCTTCTCCTTCTCCCTCCCGATTCCCTTTCAATAATCCCTGCCTACGGGAAGCTTTCTTCTGGAAATCTGCTGTAGCTCTTAAGAGATTCCACAATCAGCGCGTGAGAGAAAAGAATTCGAAGAACTACACTGCTGTTCAGATCAAGGTAGAAGAAAAAAGAAGGCAGGCCTGCAATCAGGGTGATACCTGCTCGGCCCTTGTAGATTCCAGGAGCTTGAGCTCCTCGCGCCAGCTTTCCAGCTTCGTGAAATTCTCCAACTGCTCTGGTTTCGCGTTCTCTGTAGCGTTCTTCTGCTGCTGAGCTTCTGCCAACCGAATCTGGGAATATAGAGAATAACAGGCCGCGACAGTTGATCGAGGAGCATCTCAGAGTTTCTTGATCTTATTAGTATCGCTGGGAAATGGTACTTGCAGTTCAATAACTTTGTACCCTTGCCGAATTCATCTACTTTTGTGTGATTGCATTGCCATTTGGCTTGGTCAGTGGACTGATCTGTGGCTGTTGTTTCTGTTCCCATGTTGCTTTTGAGAGCAGGAGTTTCTAGCGAAAATGTTGATGATAAATGCTCTGTTGTGGTTTCAATTAATGGTGTATGTGCCAGAATGTGGTTTGATGTGGAATGTTTGGTTGGAGCTTTATGAATTTAGTTGCAACTTCGTAATTGTTAGCTTCTGGGGAGCATCACCAATCGGTCAAGGAATAAAGAAACTCCAATCATTCATCTCATAGCCATTATAAAGCAAAACATAAATATTTCTAAAGTATACCCAAAATATGATTATGCAAACCGTAAATCCCCTAAAGCATATAAGAAACACTACTTTACATACCAAAAATATTTCTAAAGCACATCAAAAACCTCCTAATATTGCAAACTGCAAATCTCATAAACCACGCCAGAAACATAACAAAGCAGACCACAAATATTTCTTAAGCAAACCAGAAATCTCCTAATGCAAACCACAAATCTTCTAAAACATACCAGAAATCTTACAAAGCAAACCACCAAATTTTCAAAAGCACACCAGAAACTTCATAAAACAAACCACAGACACGGTAAAACAAACCACAAAAAAGCATAACAGAAACCTCCCAATGCATGCCACAAATCCCCTAAAACAAACCAGAAACCACACAAACCAACCCACAAATATTTTGAAAGCACACCAGAAAACTCATAAAGCAAACCACAAAACCAAACCAGTAACGTCCTAATACATACCACAAATCTATTAAAACAAACCAGAAACCTCACAAAGCAAACCACGAAATTTTTGAAAGCAAACCATAAACTTCTCAATGCAAACCACAAACACAATAAAGCAGACCAAAAACTTCTCAATGCAAACCACAAACACGATAAAGCAAACCACAAAAGGCGTACAAAAATATGAGAAACCAAACCATAAATGTCACAATGTAGACCATAACATCCGGTGATTGTTGACCGTTGACCGGTCAATGAAGACCGTTGACCGGTCAACGAAGTTCGTTGACCGAACTCCGGTGACCGTCAGTGAGCAGATTCCGACGCCGATAGGCATATTCCGGCCCCGATGACTAGATTCCGACGCCGTTAAGCATATTCCGACACCGGTAAGCATATTCCGGCGACGGTGAGCATATCCCGATGACAAAATGGCATATTCCGGCGACAAAAAGCATATTCCGGTGACCGGAGGCAGAATTCCGGCGACCAAATTTTTGGGCAGAAAATAAAAAAATTTATTTTTTATTTTATTTTTTTATTATTTAAACATATTTTTCATAATGACAATTATACCCCTGTTTTGATTTTACACTAGGTCAACTCATCTAACAAAAAGTCATCACAATCCTAGCTTCCTATTGGTTGGAGACTAGTGTTGTTACAATAACAACAAAAGGGTGTTGTTATAGTAACCGGTCCCTTCAGTGACTCGGTTCTTGGTTTTCCAGGTAAGGAGTGGAATTGGTTTCAGTAGAGATTCTTGGATATTAAGTGCCGACTGTTGATTTTGATCTAGCAGTTAAACAAGACAGCTCGAATGGATGAATCTGTAATAGCTTGGATCCATAGTTTCTCTCGCCATTGGCATTGCTGCTTGTGTAATTTCTTGAATATGTAGCTCACTCTACCGTGACCGTCGTTTTTGCTTTGAAAGATGCGATCTGGAGTTGGCTCCGCCATCACTAGTTTGTTTAATTTAATGAGTAGATCGTTCCATCGTTGTCGTCGGATAAGATGCTGGGGATGGTTGGATGTGAAGTTACCTCCGCTGGCGTCGCTGTTGCGTTAGCTACGATCAGGAGCTGTCTACACCTTCGCCGATTCGTTTGCTTCAATTAGTAGCTCGCTCCGATGTTGCTGCGGTGTAAGCTGCGATTCATAGTTCATTCGGCGTCGGTGTCACACGATTGGGAATAAAGAGTGCAGAGAATAAGAGGGGTGAGAGAAACGAAGTATTGTCTGAACAAGTCTTATTTTTTCGATATGACAAAAGTACCTTTCTTTGATTTTTAGCCTAGTTAACGCGTGGAATGAAAAAGTACGCACAATGGTGAATATCTATTGGTTGCCCAATGTTGTTATCACTATAACAACAAATATGTCACCATATCCGATCCGTACGTCTGAAGGTGGATGAAGGACATTATGTTCGTTGTGGCAAACGCGAGATTGGTCTTACTAATGGCCCGTTCACGTGTCATTCTATTTTTTTATAGCTGTTGCAACAGAAAATAAAATGGAAACAAAACTATCATTTTCTAAGGGTAAATTGTAAGGTTGGTCAATGAGTTTACTAAAAAGATTCACGTTTGGTCATTAAAA